CTTTCTTGTCATTTCGCGCGCCGTCCTTGGTGCCGTTCTTCGCGCTCATCCGACTCTTATCCGGAGAAGGCTTCGTAAAGCCATCTTTGGTCTCGGCATGGGTTCGCTTCTTCCCCATTTGATTTGGTTGGTGTCGCGAAAGGTGGAGCTACAAGGTCCGTCAGAGAAGAAACTCTGACCCGTCACGACCTTGGAAAGATTCCACGCCTGCCAGAGCACTGAGTCGAGATTTTGAGAGCCTTGGCATCGGCGTTTTGTGTGGCTAACGGCTTGTGGGCTAGCGTGGTGGAGCCCTCATCGTGGTGCATATTGTGACCTAGGTGCGGACTTTGAAAGCACCTCCGTGCGGCCATACTGTGACTCAACTGGTCGCTTTATTTCAGGGTCTTCTAGAGAACGCATCCTTTCGGTCCTAACTTCGTCATACCAAGACTACCAATTGGTATACATTGTCACCACCAACACACACACCCCGCCAACTACCCCGCCAGCTCGCATATGCTGGAGTAGGACAAGGGCGCAAGGACCACGACTGTCAGCCTACATCATGGCTACCCAAGCTGGCGACGAGGATAAGAAAATATCCATCACACCCCTTCTCAAGCGACTCTGGCATGAGTCACCCACAACCAAACCAACAGCCGACGAGATAGCAGCAGCCCTCGCCTTGATATTCACAAACAGCCTATCCGAAGTCCAAACAGGAGCCTTGTTGACATGTCTCCATTTCACAGACCAAGACAGACAAGCTGAAGTATTAGCCAAATGTTCCAAGGCGATGCGGGACTACGCCACTGGCATTGATGTCAAAGGTCTTCAAGAACTCATCAGCCAACGAGGAAGGAAAGAGGGTGGCTACCATGGAGGCTTGTGCGACATAGTTGGCACAGGAGGTGATTCCCACAACACTTTCAACATCAGTACCACATCGTCCATCCTCGCCAGCGCTCTACTTATGATCGCAAAGCACGGAAACAAAGCATCAACATCACGTTCTGGCTCAGCAGACCTTCTGTCCTGCGCACCTCCGAAGCCACCGGTCATCACCGCCATCGCACCCAATACCATCCACGAAATTTACTCAAAGACAAACTACGCTTTCCTGTTTGCCCCTATTTTCCATCCGGGAGCTAGACACGCTGCTTCCATCCGAAGGCAACTGGGCTGGCGCACTATCTTCAACCTTCTCGGGCCTTTGGCGAACCCGCTACATGATTTGATTGAAGCGCGCGTTCTAGGTGTAGCAAGGAAAGAGATTGGACCTGATTTCGCCGAGTCGCTGAAGCAGTCTGGTTGCAAGAAGGGTATGGTCATCTGCGGCGACGAGGAATTGGATGAACTCTCATGCGCTGGACCAACGCATTGCTGGCGAATAGTCGAGGATGATACCACAGGCGAGGCTAACATCAACTACTTCACTGTTACACCAGCGGACTTTGGGCTTCCCGAGCACCCTCTTAGTGAAGTCAGCCCTGGGCAGTCACCCGAACAGAATGCGCAAATTCTCATGAAGATTCTGATGGGCGAGGTTCCGCCAGATGACCCAATCTTGCATTTCGTTTACATTAACACTGCGGCATTGTTCGTTGTTAGTGGTATCTGTGACGCGGACACGAGCAACATGGGAGAGGGTGACGATGGAAATGTCATCAAGGAGGTTGGCCCAGGAGGTGGACGCTGGAAAGAAGGTGTCAGGAGAGCCAAATGGGCGATCTCGAGTGGAGCCGCATACAGCGAGTGGCAAAAGTTTGTCGAAGTCACAAACAGCGTTGCATAAGTTACGTCAACGAAACATTCTGATTAGACTACTCGAATCCACAGACGCTACCATGAAAGGATCCCATCGTTTGTCAAAGATGATCAACTGACGCTTCGAACCCACGAAAACCTGTCTCTCGTCTTATCCCTTAGTCCCACACCGCTGTTTTCGTATTTCAGCTATTCGTGCTTCCGTCTCGTCCCATCAGACCCAAACCTAAATTCTGCTTTTTTCTTCAGTCCATCCAGAAGCTGCCGGACTTCCAGCACGATCGCATCCCACTTTTTGGCTCGTCTAGAATCATCTCCTGTTGTTCAGAACTCCGGCACTGACCAGTGGTCAACTCTTCTTCATTCTATGCAAAGTGTAGCATCTCAAGCTTCTTCGCGGTCACTGCAATAGCCCTAAACGCCTCTACTAGGGCGATGACTTCTTCGGTAGGGGTCAGATATAACGACGTTGACTGTATGTGATACGTCAGACGGCGCAAATTGGCAAAGTTCACCGCGATGAACTGAAGAGACTGGCAGCTATTCTATATCTCGCGTTCGGAGCTCCTGATAGTAACCGTTATCATACGTGCTAGTGCCGAAGGGAGGCGATGAACGTGGTTTATGGTACGAATATGGCTTACCCTGTATAATTCAGGATGTGATCAAGTTCATCATGCATCGGAAAACTCACTTCGACTTCGTTACGTCCGGACACCAGATCCATGAGCTCCATCCTTATAGCTTTGTTGATGCACAGCAAGTTTCACTCAATAAAAACGCGGCTGTTACAACCGATGATATCTCCATTATCCAGCTCAGCAAGTATTTCCCGGAAGCCTCGGTATGAGAGCAAATTATTAATCTTCCGTCGCACCTGGAATTCTCCAAGAGACGTGTGCACCCTCATGGGCCACTCGACATCGGCGAAGAAGATGATGTGGGAGGTATCAGTACAGGTAGAGTCGCTGCGGCAGTCAATCCAAACATGGCCTCAACGGGGATGTTGAGGTCTGAGTAGACTATATGACGCAACTAGGCTGAGAGACGAGAGATAATATCAGACTATATATCTGGAAGTGTGCCCGTGAATGGCATCGAGTGCATTGCTGGAATTGATGTGGCCAATAACTGTTTCAGTAGCTCTGGAAGTGCGTTCATATGTAGGTAATGCGTCCCTTCGTCTTACTTGTTTGTGTCATGACTGATAGGGATGTGATTGAAATTGAGATAAAGCGCTAGTTTTGCAACAAAACATGAATGAGAGTGTGCAAGGTGAGATCTGATAGTGTTGAGAAAGAAACTATGGAGAACGTGGAGGTTACCTATGGATAATGGCTTACAGCGAGTGCAGGCAAGAAAGTTACTTATGGTCTATGTGCCCTCACGTTATTCGCCATGGCAGTGCTATATTTCGCTGCTGGTACTCGAGATACGATTCACTGTGCCTTTCAACAGTGCGTTGTGAATCAGATAATGGGATTTGTATCCTGGCGTGTTAAGGTAGAACGGGTCCGTCGCATTCGTAGAACCTGTTGACGATGGTGCAAGACGGTATTGGCGAGGTATGTCGGATCGTCAGAGATGTTGTTGAGAGTTTCTCACGCTTAGCCGTCAGATAGATAATCTTCGCGGATTTGTCGACATTTCAGAGGAACATGTAAGCTTTCTGAAAGATATGTCAAAGACTGTGGCTTGATAGGTCGAAACCATCGCTGCCTGCCCGCCTCTTGTGTCGCATTTCATCTTGGATGTTAGACATGTGGTAAGCCAGACCCACACGCAAAGCCCCTTCTAACGTGATCGCGCCGGCGCCACTGTGCCCACATATGATCAATCGCTGATCCTGCGGGGAGTCGAAAATAGGCGGTGCGCTGAGGACTGCGCCCTGTAGGGCGTTGCATCTTCATGAGAATGTTGTAAGAGTGTTGGCGGCCTGGCGAGGTTGAGAAGAGGTGTCTCGCAGTCTTGCCTGTCACTTCCTTGGCGCGCTGCATGCAGCAAGCGCGCCATCTGTTGAACCTTGGAATCGCGACCCCCTATGCGCATGTCAATTGAACCTGCGCCTGAAAGATCAACGTTACTCAACGGACGTCCCGACATCTCGATCGCAGCAACCCGCTCGCATCACATCACCATTTCGCTTCCCACCAGCCTTAGCCCAGACTGACTCCGGGCCCGTTTTCCGTTCCAGGCCCCCTGCTCAGCCCGCACTTTACGAAGACGCACGTCCACCGGGGTGACAGCACAACGAATCTTCTCGACACGAGGTCACGCCGACAAGACAACTAATTTTAGTAGGCTAACTTCATTGGACGCGTAATTAGTCTTGCCATCAACAACGCGAAGATTCTGCATCTGCGGCATGCTAAGCTATAGCGCGTGTCTGGGGATTAGCGTTTTGCGGCTCGGTATCGATTATGTGTCAGCATAGCCCAAGGCTGGCGCACATGTGGTTGGGAAAATGGTTGGGAAAGCAACAGGTGGGTGGTGGGTAGCCGTTTGACGTTTGACCGGTGCATGAAGTGCATGGGCGCAAAAAAACGAGAGAAAGTGGAGGATGTGCTAGGGTAAACAGGCGATTGGATGGGGAAATGACGACAAGATGTGCACTGTTCCTACAGGAACATGGTTTGTTTGGTGGCACCATACGGGTTGCAGGATGCGAATTGGTTTCGAAACCCGGGGCAGGAAGCATGGCTGGGAAGAGGCACAGCAGGAAGCGCCTGAGGCTCACCTGGGTCGGCGCAACGACACACAAGCTTCCATCTCGAATCTTACAGCGACGACAGTCATCCAGGCTACCCATGTGAAGGTTGATGATATGGATCGCCGTCTGGACGCCTGGAAGGAGAAGTCTATTCAATAGAAAAAATCTCCGCCTCGATCACGAACACGAAACATCCTCGCCACGGAGAATGCTATTATTGGTTGTGGAGGCCGCTAGACGCTTGTCTGGACGACAGTCCGCCTGTTCAGGGATAGTATGGGGCTCGCGTTAGGGCTGGTTGCCGGGTCAAAGTGGCGTTCCAGGGCCAGGGTTAGCTCCGATGCTTGCTCTTGGGTGCGGGTGAAATGGAGCAGAGGCAATAAAAGGAGGACGCGTCTCTCACGAAGCTTGAAGTTTGCTTCTCATCTCGCATCACTCAATCACTATTCGCATCGTCTCAATCGCTACTTGACATCCTTTTCGTCAAAGACTATCGCTACGGAGTTCAATCGTTCCAAACAAACACAACACAACCGTCAATATGCGCGCCTCTATCTTCGTCTCCGCTGTTGCTTTCGCCGTTGCATCGGCCCAGGTACGCTCTCATCCATCAATTCGCATACTATGCCGAATGGACCGCTAACATTCAGCCAGGACTCATCCTCCGCTCCCTCATCCTCCATCGACCCGGCCCCCCAGACTACCTACCTCACCCAGACCAACTCTCTCGGTGTCGTAACTGGCATGCCCGCGGCTGACACTTCCATCGCTACTCAGCCTGACGCTGTCACCAGCCAGCCCGCTGCTGTCACTACTCAACCAGTACCTGCTGACATCCCTGCCGTTGGCCCTGGTGTCCACACCCTCACTCTTGCTGGAACCGGCACCGGCTCCATGGTTAACTCCACCCGCACTGTCACCGTCAGCGCCAACAACAGCACTACCGTCGCTCTTGTTGCCTCGCCTACCAACTCTGACGCCGACGCTACTGGCTCCGGCGCATCTCGCAGCGGTGCTGATGCCACTGGCTCTGACGCTTCTGGTACTGCTACTGGCTCTGGCTCTGGTGCTGACGCCACCGGTGCTGCCGTCAACGTCAAGGCTGCCGCTGGTAGCCTTGTCGGTTTCGGTGCCTTCATGGCTGCGTTCTTGTAAACGCATTGATCGCATTGTTTGTTCGTTTTAGCTTCGACGTTTTATTTTTATGAGGATAGCGGTCCTTAAGATACCTTGGGTCTTGCATTAGCATTGCGTAACAGATTTGCATTGCAATACTTCGGCGTCGGCACTGGCATGTGTCTTTGACGGGAATAATGTCTGTTAAGTTTAATCATGGCTTGGATGAAAACATCGGCCATGTTAGTAGTACTTTTTTGTACATGATGTTGGGAAATATATCAAAAATTTGGATACAAAACGATTGCTTAGACGTTCTTGCTTGTGATGCATCTATTGAAATGGATATTGGCATTTAACCCTTGCGATGCTCAGACATATCAGCATCGGACGGATCAACCGACCGTCGGGTACGTTCCGTTCCGATACAGTTGAGCCCTCGTGACTTGGTTCTTTGCTGTGAACGAAAAGAAGCCGCCGTCAACAAGTTTCTTCGCACATCCAAAAGTATAAATGTTCCCGATCAACTTTGGCCATGACTGACATCAATGCCGAGGTCGGCAAACCTCACTGCTTAGCATTTGCCAAACACCCCGCCAAAACATTACCTCACCCAATCTGATTGAAACATGACAGCCACCACTTTCCCCAGACACATCCCTTCCATCCCCTACAGCGATCCCCCAAGTCGCCTTCAGACCCTCGACATCTGGCTACCCCGGCCCCTCGAGGAGACGTCCAAAAATGCCAACAACGCGATATGGCTAGTCTACATCCACGGCGGCGCATGGCGCGACCCCCTCATAGAATCGCAAAGCTTTGAGCCTACTATCAAACATCTTGTCGCTTCGCACTCGGCAACGCTGGACAACATCGCAGGTATCGCAAGTCTGAATTATAGACTTTCTCCTTACCCCGATCACACGACACAGCCAAGTACACCTGGCGATCCTGAGCGATCTGCTAGACACCCACAACATGTTCGCGACGTCGCGCACGGAATACAACACCTACAGCGCGAATACGGGATGAAGAGATGGATAGGAATAGGACATTCCTGCGGCGCTACACTGCTCTGCCAACTCATCTCTCATGTCGGTCTTACCGCTGAACTTATTCCTTCCCCGCAACCAGAAGCCTTGATTTTGATATCAGGCATATACAACCTACCGCTACTCATTCGGAATCATCTTCCGCCTACAACTCCAGAGTACATTTCGGAAATATATAAAAACTTCATCATCGGGGCTTTTGGTGAGGATCAAGCAGAGTGGCAGGCCGTGTCACCTGTTTCGGGCAAGTACAATGCACAACAGTGGCCGGAGGGTAAGCTGTTGGTGCTATGCCATAGCTACGAAGACGAACTGGTGGAGAGAGCCCAGAGGGATGTCATGTGTGTTGCGCTGGATAGGGAGGGGTTCAATATTGTCATGGAAGTTGGGGATGATGAAGACGAAGTCAAGGCTGAAGGAAGAAGAGTGGTCAATGTGCGGGATCTCAAGGGCGGTCATGATTGGATATGGGAAGACGGAAAGCAAATCGCGATTCTTGCTGCTGAAGCCGTGGAGCGGTTGGTTTAGAATTCAGATTGGAAGTGAAGTGTCGTTGTGTTCGCTATCCTCTATACACATACGAGAAGTAGAGTTCCAAAGTGGAAGAGAGAAGACTCCGCGAATGATGCTTGTTTTTGGGTCATGCCCATATCCAATAACCGTAACCCCAATGCAATCGCTTGCTGGTTCGTTGCTAGTTATACAGCGTGGTATAATGTACAGTCGTATCCCGTTCCTGCCCCGTCATCGCTCATCCAAGGGTACTGGCTACCGCTTGTTCAACCTCTCGTCCATGACCCTGTTGATCTCGTTGTGCATCTGGTTCGATCCACTCTCAGCATCGTTCAACTTGCTCTGGAGCTCTTGGATTTGCTTGTTGTTGCCGCCCTCGACCATCTTGGACGCTTGCGCCTTTGCTTGGGAAGCATTGACGTTGCCGTATACTGCCATGGCGCTAGCGATCATGCCACTCATATCGCCAACATTGCCCGGAACAACAATGCTTGTGCCCTCCTTAGCCAGGTTGCCGAATGCATCCACGTACTTTTCAGCCACGGAAAGCGAGATGGCGTTCTGCGCTGCGCCCCCGCCTTGAGAGATGGAGCGAGCAACTGCGTCAATGCCGTTGGCAGTAGCAGTAGCCTTCAACAAGATAGCCTCAGCCTCTCCGTTTGCCATGTTGATCTGCTCAGCCCTCAAGGCCTCAGAGGCCAGGATGACTGACTGTTTCTTTCCCTCGGCGATGTTGATAGCAGACTGTCTCTGACCTTCTGATTCCAGGATCTCGGCTCGCTTTGAACGTTCGGCAGTTACTTGGCGGTGCATGGCTTCGACGACGGGCTCGGGTGCGTGGATGTCACGGATCTCGTATCGGAGACAAGTGACGCCCCAGTCTTGTGCTGCCTCGTTGATGGCGGCCGTGATATTGGCGTTCAGGTTGGCGCGTTCTTTGAGGACGTGGTCGAGGGAGAGCTGACCGATCTCGGAGCGCATCGTGGTTTGCGCCAGTTGGGAGATGGCGTACTCGGCATCTTCTACACCATAACTGCGACTTGTCAGACCCGCCAGTGGCTCTTGTAGTGTGGTATGCTTACCTGGCCTTGTATGCGTCGAAGACCCTGGTGTAAAGCACACCATCCAGCTCCAACGTGACATTGTCCGCTGTGATGGCACTCTGGCTGGGAATCTCGATGGCATTCTCCTTCAGACTCCGGACATAGGCGATCCTGTCAATGAAGGGTATCAGGACGGCAAGACCCGGCTCCAGTATGCGGTTGAACTTTCCCATGCGCTCTACAATCCATGCTGTTTGCTGTGGCACGAAGCGGATCACTGTGTTTGTCGGCAGACGCTTGCTTGACGAAAAATAAGAGGGAAGCCCGGACTTGGAGTTGGAGCTGGAGCTGCCGAAAGAAGCGAAGACATTGGTCGGATCTGTGGCGGAGTGCGAGTTGAGCTGCGAGAAGCTGCGGACCGACGACGCTGTCAGAACAGTAGCAAGTGGAGATTTTCTTGGGATTGCGAGCCGCCTTGAGCTTCGCAGTAGTCCGGAAGCCGTAGTGGCTGCCAGCCGTGTGCGCGGCGCCATGATTGTGAGATTGGATGCAAGCGATGATGATGATGTCGGGACACGCGAAGCTCTAAGGCTGTCGGCGAATGTCTGCAGTCAACCGCCGACCGCCGCATTATGTAATCTACCTCTACATATCCCGTCCAGCTTTCTACGCAAACACACAACAGATCCATGTCGTCGACATACGTATTGCATGAATGTTTCAGAGTTGTTATGGTCCAATCTGTTGATTCGCATCTACAATAAACCTATACAGAACGTTTCCATCCACCCTCAGCTTCGAAGATCTCACCCACCTTTTTGCTTACAGCGAGCAATCGTCTGTCATGGTAGCGAGGCGCAACGAGCGATATGCCGATTGGCATTCCATTTTCGCCTTTGAACCCTGGAACGTTTACTACTGGTGTATGCAGTGCCTTCACGCGTATTAGTCAAGTCTCACCCGCTAGTTTACGGCATAACCTACTGTCCAGATCAAACAAAAAGCCGCACTTCCTGTCTTCTCAATCCCCAACGGCGCCTCGTCTGGCACACTCGGTGTAAGTACGGCATCGTATCTGCCAAGTATATCGTCCACGATCGGCCTTGCTGCTGCGATCTCGTCAAAGGCTTCAAGTTGCGCCTTGCGCGAAATCTTTCCGCTGTTCTCAACATGGCCTACGAGCTGTTCCGAGATCTTGTCCTTAGCGACCGTATATTCTGGAAGAAACGCAGTTCGGCCGTCAGAGTTGAGTACTGTCGCGTGCCGATTTGGCAACTCATTCAGATACTCTGGGAACTCAATCTCCTCGACCTCAGCTCCGTGTGCACGAAGGAGCGAGACAGCTTTGTCAAGTGCGGCCGAGGTGCCAGGACCAACGTTTGGCCAGACCATCGTTTTGAGAAAGGCGAACTTCGCACCTTTCACTGTGTAATCTGTTGGAGGCGGAGCATCATCGTGAATGGCAAAGGCGTCGGCGAGGAGTTCCAGGTCAGCCACGCTGCGGGCGTAGAGACCAAGTGTATCCAGAATTAGCGAGTAGATCTTTTGGCCTTCGCGGGTTATAGAGTTCCATGTGGGCTTGAGAGCGTAGATGCCGTTGTACGAGCCAGGGCGAATGGTGCTACCACCAGTCTGCGTACCTAGACCAATAGGTGCTTGAAAATCGCCTACTGCGGCTCCAGATCCGGATGAAGAGCCGCCAGGAGTACGCTTCGGGTCGTGCGGATTCCGTGTTTTTGGGCCGGTGGTCGTTGCAGCAAACTCGGTCGTGGTTGTTTTGCCGAAGATGAGTGCGCCGTTCTTGCGTAGTATCGCTATGGAGCCAGCATCTACTTGTGGCGCGTCGTTGGCATATATGGGTGAGTTGAATTGTGTAGGCATTTCTAGAAGATCAGTCAAGTCGGATTGAACGGCAATCCCGGTGGCTCACCCTTGGTGTAGATGACATCCTTTACGGCGATGGCAACGCCATGCAGCGGTCCCCGTTCAGCTGTTGGAATGGCGTCGAGCGCTCTCGCCTGCTTGATAACATACTCGGGATCAAGGTATGCCCATGCTTGAACGGCCTCATCGCGCGATTCGATGCGTGCAAGAAGTGATTTCGCGTATTCTTCGACTGAAGTTTCGCCTGCTTTGATCTTCGCCGAGATCTCGCTGGCTGTGAGTCTGTAGAGATCTGAGCTCATGGTCTCGTAGATTTCGACGATCTAACTATTTCTATATAGCTGCTGCTACTATGTACGTAGGTGACAATTGAGGTTTGCTGCGGTGTTATGATGAGAGGATTGAAGACGTGGTCTCTTTGAGTTGTAAAGTTGTGGTGTCATTAGACGCCGAAGGCAACGACGCGTTAACGATGCCATCGGCTCAAGTGACCCGCATCGCAACAGGCAGCTGTTACATGTCCCGTGTAGGCCCGCTGATTGCGATAGCCTAGTACTTGTCTTACAAGGGTAAGGTACTCACAGTTAGAGCCGATAACGGCATCCCACCTTTTCGGAACGTCGGTTCCGATCGGAACTTCAATTGATCAGCATGTGGAGCACAGGAAGAAGTGGCTTCTGGACCTGATAGCTTGTCAAAGAATCTTACACACGTTCTGGTATAGGCTGCAAAGAAGTAGCACGATTGATTCACAGAACATATGGTTTCAGGTTATCATAGTTCAGTTATGTAGATGTGTGGACACGATTTCGGCTCTACCGCACTATTTCTCGCTTCTCTGGACTTAGAAGGTAACCTTCGGTGACTTCTCGCCAATCTCAACGTCGTCTCCTCCATCAGTCATAGGAGGCGTTGCAGCGGCATAAATCTCTCCACCATCTCTATCTCCGTCGTAGAAGCCCTCGCGGCCCTCGTTCGCTAGCCATTCCCGTTCAAACGGTGTGCTCTCTCGTCCGACTGGGAATACTCGAGGTTTGACTAAGAGAGTAAGGACGCAGTAAATCGTCGCTGCCGTGAAGAAGGTCAACAGCCAGCCCATACGGTACATATTTTGTGCAGCTGCCGATATGATCTGCGGCTCGTACTGGCCGATGAGTCCTGGAATGCCCATAGTAGTACCAAGTAGCCATGCCACCACGCCGCTCCAATTTACACCGGACCAGAACCAGTAGAGGCCTGTCTTTTTGCCATCGTAGCAAGATGGTACATGTATGTTTCCCTTTCGTGCGATGAAATAATCGACGATGATGACGCCGCAAAGAGGTGCCATGAAGATGTTATAGGAACCCAGGAAACTTGTCGACTGTTAGTATGATCAATGCGAGACTCAATTAAAAGCTTACCTCAAGAAGGCTGAAGCATTCTTCATCAACTGCCACGGCTGCACGACTACACCGAGGATGGCGCAAAGCACCTGGCCACGACGAATGGTAAGCCATTTTGGGAAGAGACCAGTCATATCACTTCCAAATGGAATGGAGTTCGCCCCAAAGTTCGTCGCAAAGACTCCGAGATAGAATGCCAGAGCCGCGAAGAAAATACCCGCACGCGCACCAGCGCCGAAATGGTGGTCCAGAATAGCCTCGAAGAGGTCCCAAATATTCCAGTAGGCAACGCCATATGCTGCCTGCATAGAAGTCGTAGAGGCCATGCCCAAGAAGAACACGATAATGGAGGCCACGAAGACACTGATACCCTGGGTTATACCAGCATCTCGAGGCTTTTTGCAGTATCGAGCAAGATCGGGTTGGTTGACCAACATAGGCGAGAGGGAACCGAAGATGGTATTAATGCCGGCCATGATGCTCCATCCTAGAGGGGTCACCGAGGCAGCAAGCTCGCCTTCGTTGGAAGCAAGGTCCATTGCGCCCAGTCCACCTCCGTTGGCCATGCACCATCCGAACACTGCAAAAGCCGCAATTGGCATGATGAACCCTTTCACCGTGAAGATGTAGTGAATGTGCCTGGGATGGACCCACATGAACGGAAACTCCATTAGCCAAGCCATAAAAAAAGCCAAAAGTTGCTTTGAGGTGACGCTTGCAGTAGGAGAAAGAGTGTTCGTAAAGTTCTCCCAAGAGCTACCGAAGATGCAACGGAGCATCACCGAGAGGATGTTCCCGGCGTAGAAGGATTGAATGCCGTACCAGATGATGCACACCATGGCTCTGATGAAGACGAAGAAGTAAGAGCCGTACATTCCCATGACCTAAAGATTGGTGTACCAAGTCAGTATATGTCTCACACGCAGTTCGTATAACGGCGTTACGTACTGATCTTGCGATGACGGGAAATCCGATGTGATACTTCACGCCTGGTCGGGCCATGAGAATAACTACGACCGCAGCAAGGAAAGAGCCAATGCAGGCCGATACGAAGGATTGTTGCCATGTCAGGCCGACGGTTACGAGAGCGGAGCCAGTGTTCCAGCCAACAAGGGAGAATTGGTTGGAGAACCAGTACAACGGCAGATTGAACCTTTATCTGTCAGAAGACGCTTCAAAGCATTCGTCATTGATGGTACTCACCAAGTCCAAGTTCTCTGTTCAACTGGCGTTGGCTCAAGATCTTTGTTGGACCATCTTTCGTCGCCAATTGGGGCATGACCATCATTGCCTTGTGGGGCTCTGATGAAGTCGACAAACGCTTCCTTGGAACGGAAGGGTGCTGCGAACCGATCCTTGGTCGGGAACTGGACTCTTCCCATAGTGCTGTAGTGGTCTGGTGTGATTGACTACTGGATGTTCACAGCCTTCCAAACCATCTTCATGTTGGCGGACCATGGTTTCTCATATGTCGATCGGACCTTACGCCAACTCCAGATCGTTCACGTATCACAGGCATATCGGACCTTGATTGACCAAAGGCATGGCTTCTAGGGAAGCCTCTTTCGGCGAGTTTTTAGCCGACCATGTTGCCATGCGCGCATCAGTTCTCCCCAAGCCTTACAGGAGCACCTGCGACGCGATAAACAGCAGGGGTAGAGATAGGAGGATGCTGTACAACTCCGACATGTTTCTTGTTGCGGCGTAGTCCTTCTGTAATCTTTGGAGACCCCAACCCCATGGATGAATGCAGCCGAGATAAGACCACGTGATGTGTCATCTTAGCCTGTTCGGGACAATTCGCGATAAGACACACGTCGGCTCATACATCCCACCTCTTCAATGGACTATCGCACGTGGAGAAATATGGATCCAAACGGTATGGATTCGAGCCGAAAGCTGCAGGGCTGTCACTTTCTTGCCATACTCTCGACGACGAGGTCATGTTGCAGTCCTACCCAGAGAGCCCCGTAAGCCCCTCTACCAGCCAGGGGGTGATAGGTTCGGCAGCGGATCCAGTACTGGTATCGAATTCCGCTGCTCAAGCTCAGTCAAACGCCACGAGTCCTCCACCTCCTGCAACTAGGAAGTCTCGCGTCGCCTTGGCTTGCAAAAGGTGCAAGCGAAGAAAGCAGCGTGTACGTCACGTCGCACATTGCCTGCTGCGAGAGCATGGGCTAAAGATGATGTAGTGTGATGGTGCACGTCCAGTCTGCAGATCGTGCCAGCGAGCTGGCGTAGCTTGTGCGTATGAGAGGACCATTCGTCCTCAGTACCCTGGCGGCAAGTCTGTGTAGGTTCATCCTGTAGTCTTCAACGTACCTGCGATCTGCTTCTGACTCCTCAGCTATATCAATGCTTTAGAAGAACGAATCGCCTTTCTTGAGGCCCGCCTCCCCGATCATGCTGAGGACCACTATGACAATGGCCCAGAGAGTCTACAGAACACGTCTTCTATGAGTGTTGAAGAGCCCGCCCTGGTTCTCCAGCCTCAGCCCAGTGCATCGCGCCGCGAATCCCGAGAAGACTGTTTTTCTGAAGATCTCGAGGGTGAGGATCGGACCTCACTCGTTGACGGCGTTGCCTATCTGTCTTTATGCGCATCTGGAACCACAGATACAACCTCAGAACCTTACTATGTCGGCTCTAGTTCCGGTGCCACTATTGCTCGCATCATCCAGTCCTCCATCTTCCGAAGTTCTGGCAAGAGAGCAGTTACTCAACCCGTGTCTCAAACATGCCAGGCTACGGGAACTTCGAGACCACCTGCCCCTCCTGAATCTACTCATTCCGAAGAGACCGGCGCCGACTTTCCGGATCGACAGCAGGCGCGTATGTTGTTTGATGTCTTCTTCGAACGCATACATACGCGCTGGCCGTTGCTAGATCGCGTGGTTTATACAAGACTTTTCGAAAAGCAATTTGTTCGAGGCGCCCTGACTATCATTGAACGCAGCATGTTCCATTTGATATATGCCATAACTGCTCGCTTCCTGTCTCTAACGCGAAAGCCTTGTGGTATAGATTCAGAGGTAAGACCTACTAGTGCAGACTATGCTACGAAACTCACAGATCGCAGCATCATCTTGTTGCAGCTACCGAGCCAATGGACTATATCTTAGACCAGCACAACCTTGCGACCGTACAATTCCTTATCTTGCTCGGAGTACACGGCCAGAGGTCACCTTATGGTGCAGGCGCCTGGTCCCAGATTCGATTTGCAACATCCGTGTGCATCGAGATGGGCTTGCACAGGAAGAAGACGGTGATGGACTCCCCTGCACATGCAAGGGATGCAGAAATTCGGCGGCGTAATTTCTGGGCGTGCTACTGCCTTGATAGGGTGACTAGTATTGTGCTTGGCAGGGCTTTTGCTATCGCTGATCGAGACATTAACGTCGAGGTATGCTGCCAAACCAAGTTATGGTGTATTCACTGACGTGTTCAAAAGCTTCCTAGTACCAGTCCTGAGTTCTATACTTTGACACACTCAGAAGTTCCAGACTCGGATAAAGCCCAGTGGTCAAATATCGAGCCTTTCATACACATCATCAAACTCGACCAGATCCAGTCACGCATTCATAAAGCAGTATTTCGCGTTGATAGAGATGTCTTCAATGGGACACCGGAACAGCGGGCTAAACTTGACCGAAAGATGGCTGCCATTCGGAGCGATCTGGACGAATGGCTGCGAACCTATCCGCAGACACCGAAGAAGGAAAACAAGATCACCTGGATGTACGATCCGGAAAGCGCATATCTTGACGCACGAGACTTTTATGGTGTTCAGTATCACAAAGCAATGCTGTTCCTTTTCACCGTCTTTCTTCCTACACTCGACACATCAGACATGCGCTTCATCACATGTGCGCGCTCAGCGGCTTGTGTTTGTAACGCATACAAGCGATTGAGTCAGAACCGAACACTGACCTACACTATGATCTCCCTCCATTCGTGCTTCGTAGCTGGCTTGACACTGGTGTACTGCATTTGGCGGGATCGATCTCTCTTTTCCTACGATGTTCTAGAGGCAACACGGGCCTGCTCACAGATCTTGACCATCTTTGGCGAGAAATGGCCCGGTGCCGTCAAATATCGCGACATCTTCGATGCATTATCCGGAAGCTTGTTCAAGACGATTGTCAACTCGACGCCTACTACGACGATGCACGGTAACGGTTCGAGACCGCTGCAGCTTGATATGGATGCAGAGCCTGGTATAACGCCGCGGAGTCGACGAGAGAGTCGCGAACAAGCGTCACACCTTCCAACGTATAGCAACAAACCTACCATGTCGCACATGGTCACGGACGCTGTGAAAGAGGCTTTTATGGAGGTTGATGAAGAGGCACCCGGCGGATGGCAAGGGTGGCGTATGTTCAACGAAATGGTAAGCGATGATACGACCTCTGCAGCAAGTGCAGCGATGCGATTCGATGGTGTGAGTCAAAATCAGACTGAGATGAGCTGGGATGCTTACGATGGTTCTGGATTTTATGGCGTGGATCCAATCCAAGACGCAGCAATGCAGATGGACAGCCGCGGTATGGTGGATGGTAGTCAATGGAACTTCGGAGAGTATAGATAGGCAAGTTCATAGCCGTCGTCCTCATTTATATCATTCACAATGGCCTTTTATGTGCTGAAGATGATCCAGGTTCAACATTCAACAATTTCTTATTGACTATCTACGCGAGCTGGCCCTTCTTGTAAGGAAACTGTTCTCTGAAAGACTCTGCTATTTGAGTCCGAGTCGCAACCCAAACCCCTTCCTTTTCCGAGATATACTTCACAAAGTCTTGAAGCGCCTTGAACCTTCCTGGCCTGCCAATGATGCGGCAATGTAACCCGATAGTCATCATCTTTGGCTCACCCGCTTCGCCTTCCTCATACAGCACATCGAAAGCATTCTTCAAATGCTCGTAGAAAGCTCCCGAGCTGCGGAAACCAGTTCCTTGGCAGTGGAATTTGAAGTCGTTGCAGTCGTAGCTGTAGGGAACCATCAAACAACCTTTGGGGTTTGCGCTACCACGCTCGTGAGGCAGGTCGGTCCAGTAAGGAAGGTCATCGGCGTATGTGTCGCTAGCCCATAGAAGTTCTTCGCCCATCTCCTCATATACGAGCGGAATCAGAGCTCTGCTCTGTGGTGATGGACGACCATAGTACCATCCCTTTGGTGCATAGCCAGCAAGCTTCTTCAATGACGTGATACCATCTCTGATGTGCTGTTTCTCAGCCTCCACAGAGAGGTTGGCATGGTCTATCCAGCGGTAAGCATGAGAAGCGATATCATGGCCTTCCTCCACGCTTCGGATGACAGCCTCTGGTTGTTCTTCTACGGCTGAGCCGACAGCGTAGAGGGTAAACTTCATCTTGTAATCGTTGAACAGCTTGAAGATACGCCACCATCCACGACGGGAACCATATTCGAATTCTGATTCGCCGCTGTAGTCGCGTTCGTTTATTCTGTGTTGTGCTGGGTATTCACGAAGGTTGATCTCGGAAACTCCATCGCCTTTCATCACAGAGCGTTCGCCGCCCTTTGGTATGTTAACGACATTTCTAGAGTAAAGAGTAACTAGGCGGCAACTTACCTCCTCATAGTTGATGACGAAAGACACGGCAACCTTGGCATTGTTGGGCCATTTTAAGCCCTGAAGACCCTTCTCGCCGTAACCTTTGAATTCGCGTGGGAAGGCATAGTCAGGTGGTGCGGCATAAACTTCAGGCATGATGAAAGTACTTGAAGACTGGGAGGTAAGACCTGGTAATAGAGGATATACTAGTTTTGACGTAGACGATACTCAGGCTTTGCGACGCAAACATATATGTACCATCAGCGGAGCATCTCGCGATAGCCTTTCCTCATCATCTACCAAGCTATCGGCAATTCTCATCCGTGACGCCTTCACGTAATCGGCGACATGCCAGGCCTTGCCGTGCCTCACGATGAGATCTCATTATTGCGGCCGAATGCGACCCACCACAGTGTTATCAGAAGAATGGAGTAGTTATCGGCTTGGAAAGAACCGCATGTGGAACATTGCCGTGAGGGGGATCGCTGAGATGAGGGGACAGGCCAATCGTACGTCGCCGATAACGACCGACTTTTGTGGGGCTGCACAGGACCTACCTATGTCGGCATACCCAGGGTAAAGCCCAGGTTGATCTGGAGACAGCTTTCTGGTACTTTGATTGTGAGTAATGAGGTACAGCGGAGAACAATCGCGTCCATGTTCCGATGTCGCTACCCCACAGGCTCTGGATGTTCCAATGCAATCGCTATCGCTTCACTTGTTTGACTGTGATGAGTTATGGACGGTGCCGAACAAGGGCATGATCGAGGGATTTTATGATATGCTGAGGATTTGGTGTCACAATATGCTAATAATTGGGTGTCACAGAGAACCTTTGATTGTGTGCAAAAATGCTTTGATGATTCGCTGTCTCGGCCGTATATCTCATGAATTCGTCATGTCGCTATTCGACTTGAGCAGACGTTGTTTGCTATACGGCGTCTCCTATCCTCGATTTCTCATCAGACATCCTTTGCTTTGTCTCAACTTCTTCGCCATGGATAATTTCTTGTTGAGGCTCATCCGGCGGTATTGTCGGCTGTGCTCCTTCCTCGTCCAGCTTTTTGGGTGCTTTCAGACTAGTGTTACCAACCCAGAATGTCAAAGACAAGCTTAGACCGGAGCAAACAGTGAAAAAGATGAAAATGTAGTGTAGGCCAAGCATATACGTGTCGAAAACGTCTTGCTTTTGGTCTTGGGAAAGACCAAACTGGTCAAGGTCGTACGTTGAGGATGTTAGTTGGCTCATCAGATCGTCTGACACGAAAGACCTGTTCGACAAGTCTCGACTGAGCGTATTTGAGAGGATGACACCGGAGATGACCAAGCCAAAAGCACCACCAATAGTGCGGATAAAGTTACGCAAGCCGGTCGTCACTGCACGATCCTCTGCGCGACTATTGGCGTACATGCCCACAAGTGTCGGCTGGAGCGTCAGACCAATACCAGCACCTTCTATGATGAGGACAACGATCAACACAGCAAGACTCGTATCTCGGTCGAATAATAAGGTGAGGCCATTGCCTAGAGTCCACAAACCAAAGCCGAGCAGGATGCAGTGCATATAGCTGCCGACCCTGTTCATGTACTGGCCTGATGCGATAGACGTGAAAGAGGTCGTGATAACCACCGGCAGGATCAAGGCACCGGAAACCAGGGGCGAATACCTGAGAACCGACTGGAAGTAAATTGGAAGGTAGAAAAAGTTGCCGAAGTACGCAAGACCTATGAGGAATGTCTGCAGATATAGTGCCCAACAGTGCGGTGCGCGGTACAGTCGAAGTGGCATGATTGGAAGAGCCACAAGTTTCCACTCGTAGAGCACGAATAGTACGCCTAACACTGCACCAATAGCAGTGCAAGCGATGAAAAATGGAGAGGCCCATGCGTAGGTTACACCGCCCCCTGATAATGGAATGAGCAGGAGCAGGGTGGATGCAATGTTTAGCAGCATACCGCCGTAATCAATCTTCTTGATCTTTTCGAGGTGATCGCCAGATCGATGCTTTAGCGGTAGGAAGAATAGGATAACCATGGAAGTGGGCACACTCATAATAGGTATTATCCAAAATACCCACCTCCAAGTCGCCCCTTCAACGATGGCGCCTCCAAGGAAGGGGCCTGCGCCGTTTCCCAAAGCGATGATTGCACCCAGCCATCCTAGACAGAAGTATTAGCATCGTGTGATTATGCGTAGACTGGGTTTCTCACCCTGATATTTGCCGCGGTTTTGCAACGTTGTGATATCGCTGACGATAATCATTACAAGACTGTTAATGCCACCGCCGCCGATACCCGCAATGGCACGTAGGACAAACAGCTGCACTGCTGTTCGCGCGAAACCACATCCAAGGTCTCCCAGAGCCATCAACGTAAGACTAATCAGTAACAGATTCTTACGACCAAAGATATCCGATAGACGGCCATTGATCAGTTGGAACGCCGTCGATGCGATGAGAAACGATGTACCGATCCATGATGTTGCTGTTCCGGTGTTCAAATCCACAGCGATTGCAGGTGTTGCTGTTGAAACGCTAGTTTGGTCGATAAACGAGACGAAGAGGCAGACTGATAGAGCTGGAATGGCGATTCGGAGTTGGGTAGATGTCATGGTGTTTCTTTGCCCGCCAATGGATGCCGCATCACTATCGTCGTCATCCTCGGCTTGTTGGATGGTAGGCGAAGCGGGTGGACTGTGAAAGTTTTTCGTATGTGTTCCTAGGTCGTCTGGCTCGTCGTCTCCGGATGGCTTCTCAGCAAGAGTATGATCAACGCATATGTTGTTTTCTTTGTCGAGCTGCATCGAGTCCGTCTCATTAACGGAGGCCTGTTGGTCTCTCATCGTGGTATTCTTCCGGGATCGCAATGAGCCTCAAAACCATAGCGAATTTTCGGACGGGTATATTAGGCACAAGATCAACGGTCCCAAACATCGTGGCTAGCGTTGAAGCTGGACGTGGAGCTTCGGGAGGCTGTCCGGGCGGGACGGGGCCTCGCAATGACGCCTATTGACACCTGCAGGATCGGTACGTATTTTCCCCTCAGAGACATTGCGAGAGTAGCCAGTTACAGCTAAGCTGTGTACGCGCGTGGCAGAAATGCTGACACGCTTCGATGGCGTAAGTGGCATTGCGGATGAAAGCAGCCGGCGGAGGCAGGGGCGCCAAGTGGGTCGTTTTAGCATAGCGACCTCTTATCGGGACTTTTTCAGCCGACGCATCTCCAACCCCTGATCCTTCGTTGGTTGCAACTCCCATAGATATCGGATCAGAATGCTGAGAATGGCACTCCAAATGTCCAGCCGAATCTCGGCATCACGGGTGAGCCTGACAGACGTCGTGTGTCAGGCGGGCTATGAGCTGCTGATAACGAGTACAGCAATTCATCGTTGGGTCCTAGCTAATGTCCATAATACGTGTGATGGTCCGCAGCTACACAAGTACCAAACAACAACGAAGTATTGATATAGCGAGCAAACTCGGTTTCGGCAAGAATCATCAAAGCTTGCATATCTTTCAAACAAAATCAGTATCGCCTGCTGAGATGTCACGACTTTTTACCCCGTTGACAGTCGGGGATGTTAAGCTAGACCATCGTGTCGCTATGGCACCGTTGACCCGGTATCGTATGGACGATGACTTCAAAGCGACGCCCATGAGCAAAGGTATATGTACTGCTATCGTCGCAAAGGAACGATTTTAACAGACTGTTCTAGAGTACTATGAGCAAAGAGCATGTGTACCAGGAACCCTCATCGTCAGTGAGGCAACCATCATCTCTAGGAACGCTATTGGATGTCGGAACGCCCCTGGAATATGGTCGCAAAATCAGATTGATGCATGGAAAGATATCACAACAGCAGTACACGCCAAAGGCTGTGCGATATACTGCCAACTTTGGCATCAAGGCCGTGCTGCGAAGCCCGATACGCTAGACGAGGAATGTATTAAGATGGTCTCCGCCAGTGCGGTCCCCATGAGTCCTCAAGATCGGACACCAGAAGCGATGACCGAGGAGATGATCTGGGCCACGATAGAAGATTATGCCTCTGCAGCTAAGAACGCGATTGCTGCAGGATTTGATGGTGTCGAGATACACGGTGCTAACGGGTATCTACCGGATCAATTCTTACAGACGACCTGCAACCAACGGACAGATAGTTGGGGAGGCACTATTGAGCAAAGAGCGCGATTTCACCTCGAAGTAATCAAGGCAGTAATTGCGGCTGTCGGCACAGAAAGAACGGCAATGCGTCTGAGTCCTTACAGCGACTTTAATGGCATGCTAATGGACGAGCCCGAGCCGACCTTCAAGTACCTTACGGAAGAGTTAAAGAAACTAGGCTTAGCTTACCTCCACCTTATCGAAGCCCGCATTACCGGCAACGACGATTCGGAATGCGGAGGACAGAAGACTGTGCGCTGGATGGTTGAACTGTGGGATAACGCAAGTCCAGTCATGCTGGCTGGAGGTTTCCTACCCGATTCGGCGAAGCAGACTGTTGACGAAGCATACAAGGACTACGATGTCATCATTGCATTCGGAAGGTACTTCGTCGCCAACCCCGATCTTGTCTTTCGCGTCAAGGAGAGCGTACCGCTGGTCAAGTATGACCGTTCAGTTTTCTATACCCCGAAAACACCAAAGGGATACATCGACTACCCACATAGTGCGCAATATTTGAAATCCATGGCGAAGGCTTGAGATAGGTCTTTTGTGTAGTAGTCGCATCATACCAACCATATCGCGTGTCTTCGTTTCTTGCTCCGCAAACTCTTTTGGTAATTCCTTCTAAGCGTAAGCTCACGAAGAAGCTCACCCTCTCTAAACTGTAAATTGATACTAGAAAAGGTACTACAGAGTTACAAACCAACGATGTTACACAGTGTTGCAGACAGAGTATAGGGTGTGCAATAGTTCTCCTACTATATTCCCAAATGCCATTTTGATATCAGATTCAATCTCGACCCATTCGATGAGTCAAGGTAGTGATTGGTTCGTTGTTCTAACACTGGTAGGGCATCTTTTCTCACCCCGAGACCTCCAAAAAACCGTACTCCAGGCGCGGCAACCAAGGTGCTGACTTCGATGCCGTACTCTTCGATCCTCCTAGGTTTTTCCTGTCTAGAGCTCACTAGGGCCTCGAGCTCAGGATTTATAAAGAGAAGCTTCTTTCTTCCATAGAAGTTGTTTCGTCTCTTAAGACGTCCTCCAAACGTTACAGGTTATCCTCCGCCTAGCTGAGCAGGACTGCGCAGGTATCGCACTCACTTGTAAGTGATTCTCTTCTTCTCTAATAATCATTTCCTTCTGAAATGGTCGGGATAGATATCCTTAGATGAATCGATAATGTCTGTGGGGTCAACCCTTCTCATAAGTCGCTCTCGGCGTGCACATGTAAGTAAAAGTCCTCCTTCTAACTTATGTTTACACCACATAATAGTGCTCCAATTGGTGCCTTGGAGGCTTGTTCTCGATGTGTTGAACCTGGGAATCCTACCTAGGTACCCAGACGTACCCACGGTCTCGATCATCTTCCTGTTCCTCCGCTGTGTAGCGACCAGGACACGTTGTAAAACGAACGAAAACGCTTGGATCCGAATGGCCCTTGCGAGTTTGCAGATATGTTCCATCCATTATTAGTTCTTTCATTTCGGCTATTTTAGGCCATTTTATGTTGGATTCTAGTGGCGGTCAGCGTTGCTCGGCGAACTCTCTATCATTTGTTACCTACTTTTGTCATCCTCGAGTACGAATAAGATGTCAAACTTTATAGATGATGATTCGTATTGCTCTCTAATATGAAGCAACAAACGAAGGTTTTCAAGCAAGTCATACTCTTCGTCTCCGTGTTCTCGAAAATGGACCCATGTGACGTATACATGCCGAAGGGATGTGAAATATCCTGCTTTGCGCATCGCAAGGATGCCAGGAAGTTGTTTGTCAGCTCTGACGTTCAGCGCACGGAGCCATTCGATGTGCACGTGTTCGATGCTTTGCGGGAAGAATTGTAGAACACTTCTCTCGCTTCTATCTGGATCAGAAACCAGATACAAAGGGACTCTTATCGATTTCAAGTTTGTCAGGTTACTGAGAGGTTCGAGCTGAGCCAGACGGTATTTTGCCGGCGAAGCACCATATACTACTCGACACGCGACGGACAGGTCCTCAAGACTCTCAGAGTGATCATTTAACGCAGAAACAATGCTGCCGAACCAGCGATCCCCAGGACGATGGGGCGTAGGAAGGGTGCATTCAAACTGTTGTAGAGCTTTACACGCGCGTATCACCTTCTTGACCATGTTCTCAGAGACATAAGGTCTGATCAGCGAGAGCTTAGAAATAGGCGACGAGCGTATAGGCCATCTCCATGGAACGTTGTATACGATGGAGTCGTTCTCGTCGGTGAGAAATGGGGGCATTGCCCCTGGCGTATTTGGTCTGCAGCCCCATGAGCCGAGGGTAAGATCATCTAGGCTAGGCAGAAGTAACAAAGGCAGAACGGATGCTGTTGACATGACAGGCGTCGAGTGGAAATCGATGTATAGAGTCTTTAGATTTTGGAAATTGTGGCGCGCTGGTGAATGTCTGCCCATGATCGTCCTACCAATTCCCTCAAGAAGAAGACATGTTCCACCGATCACATTGCATGATGGCAATCGGATCCATATACGCTCCAAGTTAGGCAACCAAAAAGCCGCTAAAGCGAAGAACACATCCTCGCGATTGGCGAATCGTTGTTGACAAAGTCGAGAAGATTTCGCATCCAGCCCAGTCAATATCCACAATTCTAGGAAACGTTTCTCTTCATTGCCTTCGAACTTAGGCCAATGGACCAAGGATTTCATAGCAGGTTGCTTTTGCCGAAGAGCCTTGATGTGCAAACGAATATCAGGCTGTGATAGAACATGTTTCAGAAATTTCCATGACCATTTCAACTTGATGTCAGCTGGAGGGCGGTCTATCGACTCGTAGAGCAATGGTCTTGCGATACTATTTAGTTTCTTCGAGACGCGACAAAGAGCTGCAAGGGCAGGCATTCGACCGTCGTCGGCTGGTTCTGTCCAGCTCGTGGGACCTCTAAGTTGGCCCACGATGTGGAGGAGCAGCTCGTCGGGAATATCGTCCATGGTGGCGGTGAGTCGAGTCGAAAGTGCCGGTGGAGATGTTGAGGATGGGAAAGTTGACCAGTATGACGCCGCCTAGATACAGGAAAGATTGACGTTAGATCATGCTTGCGGAGGGCGATGTTGAAGAACTTGGAAGAAATAACTGATCATCACGTCGTCATACTCTTTACTTTTTGCATACACTTGCTCCGGCAACACCATCTCGGCAGCGTTGGCGGCAGCGGCCAATTCCTCTTATACCCGCTCACGAAGGCAACTGCACTGTGGAAAAGACTTCAGCAGGAGATTGAAGAGCACATCGGCATGGATGCAATTGGCAGCAAGAAGACAGGCGGTTGGCAGAGGGCGAAACGCTAGGTTCCTCACTAAGGCTAAGCGAACAATCGTTCTGCTTGCAGGGCTGCGCGTGTACTCGACTTTGGTTACAACTGCGAAAGAAGTAAGAAACTAGAGACACAGAGTGAGTGATTGTCCACAACTCAAGTTAAGGAGAAGTCTAAACCCAAGGCTCTTGGTAGTGATTCCTGTGCGTTCCTGCAGGTACTTTGCGCGGCCAGGGCTTTTTTGCCAACCGCGTGGCACGTCGTCAGACGCGAAACTCCCGCGAGCTTATGTACGGACAGCGGCTACCCCACGCCCACGCTGCCGGGCCCGCTCCCCGCCACTGCACCTCGAGCTCTTTAGACGCTCCTCGACTACTACTACTACCACCACAACCACCAACATGTCCGCCAAGATAGACTCAGAGACGCTCAAGCAGTACCTGGCCGACAGCCCGCCTTCTGTCGTGCCTCTGGCCATCAAGCCCCACTTCGATGCGCTGACGGACAAAGAGAAGCTCTATGCCCACCACCTCTCAGTGTAAGACATGTGCATTCATCGGCTGTCTGTGACATTGCAATTGATGCGTATCGTAGAGCCTGTTTCGCCGGAACACGCGTCGTCCTTCGCCAAGTCTCCCCCGAATCCGAGCACATTTATGACTTCATCGTCGCTCTCCACAAGCACACCAAGGGCGACTATGCTTCCCTCGCCAAAGATACCGGTCTTTCACAGGAAGAGATTGACGCATACCTCGATTACTCAGCGCAGTTCCTAGGCAACCTAGGCAACTTCAAGTCCTTTGGCGACTCCAAGTTCGTACCCCGCCTCGACCCCCGCCAGCTGAAGGCACTCGCGACCGCATCCAAAGACACCCTAGCCATCTACGACAAGTTCAAGGACGCCATATACACCGGCAATGATGTAGGGAAGCTGCACCTGGGTTATCCCGGTGCAGGGCACATATCCACCTACTACCCTGATAGCCCCGACATCACCAGCGAGCAGATCTCCAGCGTGAGCGATTTCCTCGAAGGAAAAGGATTGCTTCCCGAAAACACAAGGATCAGGAAGACCAAGGACGGTTACGAGGTTCTCATTGCGTCCGCTTCGGACAGCCCAGCGGCAGAACAACGGGACTTGAAGGAAAGCGAGTGGACAATGGACGATGGAAGCAAGCTGAAGCTGGTCTTTGGTGACTACTCCAAAGAGATGGACACCATTGCATACCATATCGAGCAGGCAAAGAAATACGCAGCTAACGACCACGAAGTTAAGATGATGGAAGAGTACTCCAAGAGCTTCAGGACAGGATCACTACAGGCCTTCAAGGAGAGCCAAAAGGCCTGGGTACAGGACAAGGGCCCTCAAGTAGAATCCGACATCGGCTTCATCGAGACGTATCGCGACCCACACGGCATCCGCGGCGAGTGGGAAGGCTTCGTGGCCATGGTGAACAAGGAGCGGACGCGCGCCTTTGGCAAGTTGGTCGAGACAGCCCCACAGTACATTCCTCTATTACCGTGGGACAAGTCTTTCGAAAAGGACAAGTTCCTCAGTCCGGACTTTACGTCGCTCGAGGTGTTGACGTTTGCGGGCAGTGGGTAAGTCTTCGTAGTTTCCATCGTCTCACCACTCATCTAACACCAAACAGCATACCGGCCGGGATCAACATTCCAAACTACGATGACATTCGGCAGAACTTTGGTTTCAAAAACGTATCTCTTGGCAACATTCTTTCTGCCAAGGCACCCAACGAGAGCGTTCCATTCATCAAAGAGCGTGATCTAGCAACCTACCAGAAGTACCGAGATCCTGCCTTCGAGGTCCAGGTCGGTCTCCACGAGCTGCTCGGCCACGGATGTGGTAAGCTGCTTCAGGAGACGGAGCCGGGCGTTTTCAACTTCGATAAGGAGAACCCTCCGATTTCACCACTAAGCGGCCAGCCAATAAAATCCTGGTACAAGCCTGGCCAGACGTGGGGGTCGACATTTGGTGCTATCGCTGCTTCCTATGAGGAATGCCGCGCCGAGTGCGTCGCTATGGCGCTCTCTTGCGAATTTCCCATACTGCAACTTTTCGGCTTCGGTGACGGCAAAGCCGACATGAACAGCGAGGCGGGAGATGTTCTGTTCACTGCATACCTCCAAATGGCTCGTGCGGGTATTGCAGCTCTGGAGTTCTGGGATCCCAAGAGCAGGAAGTGGGGTCAGGCCCACATGCAGGCCCGCTTCTCTATCTTGCGCACATTCCTCAATGCTGGTGTCGAGTTCTGCCAGCTGGAATGGGAGAAGGACGATCTCTCCGACCTCACTATCCGCCTTGAGCGCGATCGCATCCTAGATCTAGGTCGCCCTGCCGTGAATGACTATCTTCAGAAGCTCCATATCTACAAGGCAACTGCGGATGTTACAGCCGCGAAGAGGATGTATGACGAAATCACCAGTGTCGAACCCTTCTACGAGAATATGGTCAGACCAGCTGTTCTGAAGAAGAAGCAACCGAGGAAGGTGTTTGTCCAAGCAAACACAGTCGAGAAGGACGGAAAGGTCGATCTGATTGAGTACGAAGCTACTAACAAGGGCATGATCCAGAGTTGTGTGGATAGGGAGTATGTCTGAACATGCGACTGTGGCCATGAGAACGTTCAAACAACCCAATTTTGATGCTTTGAGAAGTCGTATGCACAAGGACACGAACAACATATAAGAGAAAAAAAATAACAGCCGACCGAAGAGTCTGGACTTTACGATTCGTCTCCCGAAGATTTGGTCACCACGTGCAAGTGGATAATGAACATCCATATCCACCAAAGTATTGTCCGCATCAGTTGTGTCATGTCATTTGAGAATCGGACGAGCCGCGCGCGTAAGTATTCTTCCGACGTGTGACAGACGCGGAAAGCAGCTTCCGTTATGCGAATTGCGAAATGAACGAACACGCCTTGAAGTGGTACACCTGGGGTAGCCTTGCAATGGCTGCAACGTCATCTTGTCAAAGATGATGTCGTCACAAAATGAATATAGTAGGACATGTGTTTTGGCTGGAATACTGGTACCAGACACAAGGACTCCTGCTTGTTATCGGGCAAAACATTGCCGAGATTTGCTTGGGCTTGCTTGTGGTAAGTCTTAGCGCCGGCATATGGTGCGCTAACGTAGGTCAAAGTGCGGAGAGACGAAACGTGCTAGCCCGTCACATATCCGCCCTACCCGTTTCCGAAGAGAACGCCGAGGTTCACCTTATTTTCCACCGCTCAAGCGCCATCTGTATATGAAGATAAGTCAACTGACCATAACCTAGCTCAATGCTGGTCGCAAAAAGACGAGTAGCTACTGTAGGATCTAACGATTATGTGGTGTGGTCATTCGGACCGACCTGCGGATGAGAAAAAGATATCCCTTGACTACACATGCAGACAAGTACGGTCAACAACTAGATCGCATAATCAAAAACTCCGCTCACAGCGTATCCACAAGAAATTTCAGCGATGAGGTCCGTCAGGGCTGAAGGATGAAGACAGAAGAGGGGCAAGGAACAGGCGAGGTGTGAACATCAGAAGGATGCAAACATATCTCCGGTTCCTGAATCGATGGCAGCGAACCACCGGCGATAGTACCTGAAGCGAACAAAACTACAAGGATCCGGATAGCTGTCAAACTACTCAGAGGCCCTGTGGCGTACGTGACTGCGCCGCTGTCATTTAGAGGGTGCGCTAGCGCCATGAGCTGGTGCTTTACTATGCCCCTATCATCACAAAGCGCTGGTCCTTCCGTCTTGCTAATGGCGGAAATACCACTAACACGCAAAAACTACTCTCCTCGACGTTGAATCTATCTCGATGCCGACATGGGTATCGGAATGCTCTTCCAGTGGGGTAGTCTCCAAGCTAGTATAGGAAATGCTTTAAAAAGAGCAGATATCTCAATGGTAATGGGCTACCCATACTACCAATCCACTCCTTTCACACAGTCAACTTTCTTCTTAGCTTCAGGCAAGCATCTTCTCATCAAAATTTCATTATGAAGTTCTCCCTTCTCGCGCTTGCAAGCGCTTACACAGCCAGCGCCGCCGTCATCGGAGAAAGGGCAGCATATGCTGTCAAGGGCACACCTGAAGGTTTCGGAAAAGGAACGACCGGAGGTGGTAGTGCAGCATGTGTCGTTCCTTCTTCAGTGTCAGAACTGAAGACGTGGCTCACCGATAGCACTGCGCGTTGTATCGTGCTCGACAAAGAGTACAACTTCAAGGGTACAGAGGGAACTACGACTGCCACTGGTTGCCGTCCTGCCTCCAACAAATGCCCTGGCAACGGAGGTCAGGATGCTATCAACTCCGCCAACTGGTGTACCAACGGAAACGCCGGAGCGGGTGCCACATCGGTTACTGTCAAGTACGACAATGCTGGTGTGACTGCTATCAACCTGGGCTCCAACAAGTCCATCATCGGTGTTGGCAACAAGGGTGTTATCCGCGGAAAGGGTCTCCGCATTGCCAACGGCGCAAAGAACATCATCATTCAAAACATCCATATCACCGAACTCAACCCTCAGTATATCTGGGGTGGTGACGCTATCACTCTCGACGGAGCTGATCTAGTCTGGGTCGGTATGTTAATTCTTCCACTCCACGCTCACTACCAAGCTGACACATACAACAGATCACGTCAAGATCTCCCTCATCGGTCGCCAAATGTTCGTTGCCGGTTACGGTAACTCCAACCGCGTGACAATTAGCAACACGGAGTTTGACGGTCAAACCTCTTGGTCTGCTTCTTGCGATGGACGTCACTACTGGGCTATCTTGCTCCTTGGTGGCGGAGACCTCATCACTATGAAGGGCAACTACATCCATCACACCTCTGGCCGCAGCCCCAAGGTCGGTGGACAAGGAAACACACTGCTCCATGCTGTCAACAACTACTTCTACAGTAACACCGGCCACGCTTTTGACATTGAGGCCGGCGGTATGGTCGTCGCTGAGGGCAACGTATTCCAGAACGTCAATACTCCCCTCTTGAACAACAACGGACAGCTCTTCTCTGCACCTTCAACCTCCGCAAACGCTGTTTGCTCAAGCTCCCTCGGCCACACCTGCCAGCTTAATGCCTTCGGAAGCAGTGGCAGCTTCAGTGGCAGCCAAACGGACTTCCTAGTCAACTTCAAGGGCAAGAACGTTGCCAGTGCTGCAGCGGCGAGCTCAAACGTCGCCAACACTGCTGGTGTTGGCAAGATCTAGAGCATCCTAGTGGTGCATATGCAATCGCCTGCATGACCGATGCTAGGCGCGTGGCCTCCGCAAGTTTAAGGACGTGCCACCCATCTTCTCTGTATCTACTTTGCTCCATCAAAACTTTTATGTAAATATCTTTAGACAACATATAGTTGCAGGTTTCATCAAACTTTATTCTTACAGACTTGTCCCATAACCTTTAGTGCAAGCGAGCCAAGTTTTGACTATATTACAAGCATGGCAAGTACGCGCATTAGCACTCACATGACTTCAGATGCAAAGACTTCCCGAAAAACCTCCAGGTTCTTCTGCCCGATTGGTCCAGCAGCATAGACAGCAAAAGCAATATTCTCGAACCACCCTGCGAACTCCTCACTCTCCAAAGCCATCTTCATCTCCTTTGCAACAACTCGTGGCGGACACCTATAAGCACCGCAACCCATAGCACCCAGCACCAGCCTCGTAACCCCTTCTCCCGCAGCCATCCTCAATACCAACAGAATCTTCTCCCTCAGATTCTCCAAATCCTCCATCTTAACGAAATCTTTTCTTCCCTCCGTAACAGCGGGTAGACACGGCGCCGCAACCGTCATGACAGCCACGACATGGCGCTGATCTACAGGCAACTCGGCGAGCCCATTATCTAGCGTGTCCCTGAAGACGACCACGTTGGGGGACATGACGCCTGCAATAGACCCTTTTCCCGTATTAGGCCAGGGGTACCATTCCGGCTTCAAAGTAGCGTACAGCGTGCTAGAGTAGCACAAGGCCTCTTCTTGCGTTCGCGAAAGCGTGTAGCGCCAGCCGCCGCCTGGTTCTATGTCGGAGGCTAGGTTTAGGACCCCGATTTTTCCGCTACCGGGGATTATTCTCGCGAGGGCGAAGGAGTCGCTGTTGTAAATTGCTGGAGGTGTTTGCGGGGCAAGGTTTGGGTATTTGGGTGATGTTTTAGAGAGAGGCGGGAGTTGGGAGGGGATGAAGTAGCTGGTGAGGGAGCCGCCTGGTGTTGATGCTGCAATTGATGAGGATCGCGCGATGGTGTCTTCGCAGATTGCGTGACGAGCTCCAAAATTTGCCATTGCGGTGCGTTGGATTTATACGTACCCCAGACTTGTTTTATCCTTCCTGCGTTGCTGGCAATGGTTTGAGAAAGATCTGAACAGCTGCGATGAAGTTTATGTGAACAAGTAGGCAGCAGCTTTGCAAATGTGGCGCAGCTACGGTTTAGTCGCTTACCATTGTTTTAGTATCGAACAATGACTCGTCAACGGTACTTAGGTACAGGGACGTGAAGAAATACGCTATGCAGATGTCTGTCCACCCTACGGCAAAAGGTCTTCAAGCTGTGGCTGCACCACCACCCAGGTATATCAAGGTGATCGCAAACCATAGCCACTGTGACTGTGCTTACATGAAACTGTTGCAGATGATTACTCATTGATATCAATCTCCTCACGAGCAATCATACAATCTATCTTCTGATAAGAACACGGTATACCTAAGTATCTTTTCACTACTATACTGCCCATCATACCCAACACGATGTCGCTCGAGTCGCCCCTGCTGCTATGTCTGTCGGAAACCACGCCTTCCTGACGGTACTCCCTTGATGTAGGTGAGATATCTGTACTTGCGACCAAATGAGTTTCAGTTATTGGTGGTAGTATAGGCGAAGAAAAAGATGCGGATAAGCTTTTTTGGCATAGCTTCTTTGTTACCTGGAGCTGTGGTGTCATCTTGCCCCGCCTTAGCTTCCACCTCGACCCAGTATGCTTCGACACCTCTTTCTCATACATTCGATACGTCGTTGCATGAGATATCGTGTAGTGATAGCGAAAGGTATCCAACTGAGGCATTGTGTCAGCACTGCTTCCGGATCAGGAAGGTAGATATGTGTTGGGGTCACGCCCAAAGTCCAGTGCCTGCATGGTGCCGTGTTGAGCCTGCGAATCAATGGATGCCTTATGTCGTATCAATGCTCTGAGTCATCGACTACAAGCTCCAAAATGATGGATCGTGCTACATGGTCGTTTGCCGTGTTCTACGTCTGAAGTGTACTGCTCCTGGAAAGCTTCTACATGACTACCATGCCACTTCAACTTCATCCAATGACGACAGAAGACACGCTGTCCTGGACACGAGTTCGCGCACTCGCCTACTACGGTCCGACACACGACGTAGTGCACAGCGGACCTATCAGCGAAGCCTCGATACACGGTGTAGCGGATGACCGCAAACGTGAGATTGAGAAACCAAACACATGGCACTGGAAGGTCGTAGACACAGATCTCGAGCCCAGCTCCGACGACCCATCAGATAACGGCGGGCGCACAATCGCTGTGTCAGTGTGGAGTATGCATAACATGCAAACAGGAGGGGGAGAAGAGGAGAGTATGCCTGGTTTCCTGCCTCCGGAACTGCGTCTCGATGTTCTGGGGTCATTGTTGGGTCCTCTACGGGCTGCTCAAGCCTCCATCATGGGCACATCGACGCCTTACTTTATGCTGAATCAGCTGGCGACACATCCAGATCATCAAGGTCGTGGGGCAGGGAAGTTGATGCTAGATTGGGGGATGCGGAAGGCTGACAAAGAGGGACTGGTGACATATTTGGATTCGACGATGACGGGAAGGCCTATATATGAGAGGAGGGGATTCGAAGTGGTCAAGGCGCTTGAGTGGGATCGTGTGCCTTGGGGCGGTGAAGGAAAGGACTGGCATGGATGTATGGTTCGGCGGGCGAAGAGTGTAGAGCAGTAGGCGTGTGCTGTGGAATAACGAAAGTGATAATGCAGGGCATGCTGTACCACGTCGCTGGATAGCCGACTAGCCGCCCGAATCAGCCGTAGTCCGAATGCGAACGCCCGGCTCGTGGGCTACCAACCCCGCAACCTGCCCTGCGCCCACGTTGCCGGGAAGCCAGCTGGTAGAGGCTCTTTGTTGGTGGGCGTGAAGTTTGGCCAACAGCTTGACGATAGCATAGATATTCAGGCCTTGGCGGCCAATGACGTATTCTCTCCTCTCGACGCGAGCGACAGGCGCGGGTGGTCTTTGGGGCGTGCGTGCACTGCTCAGCCTCGCAAGCTTCTCCGCGCCGCAATGGCCCAGTCCGTCCTGGTCCTGGTAACATGTCCGGGCGCGGGTTGGACTATGATGCACCTGGGCAGGGGACCTGGAGCCCGCCTTGCATCCTTCTACCAAGCCGCCCTTCACCCTCCCCCATAATAACGTAACGCCCGTGGACAGGTATCAGCAAGCTCTCTACCTACCCTCCCACCTTCATCGCCGTCCGCATGTCCGCGCAGGGCTAATCGAGGGGCATGGGACGCAACGCGCGGAAGCGTATCTCGTACGGTAAGTGTCGGCTGCTGCTGCGTGCGCCGTCGCGACTGACGCCTCCCCAGTGCTGCCACTCGCCAACTCGGCCGGAGGACACAGGCTCGGAGTCAATGGCTTGGCCGTCGACCCCCAGAACTCGATCCTGTACTCGGGCGGACGTGATGGCGTAATATGCGCATGGGACCTGCATCTCGACCTCGACAAGACCGACGCCGACGACGACGACAGCGACCCTTTTGCCGACTCCAACGTCGTCGACTCCAAGCCCCCGCCTACCCAGTTCCGCAACCAGGTGCAGGCGCACACCCACTGGATCAATGACATTGTCCTCGCCCAGAACAACGACGCCCTCGTCTCTGCCTCGTCCGACATCACCGTCAAGGTGTGGCGACCCGCTGCCACGGACAAACTCCCGCCTCAGACAATCGGCCTGCACACCGACTATGTCAAGCGCGTCGCATCGCCGGGCGGCAGCGAGAACTGGGTAGCCTCGGGCGGGCTGGACCGCAAGATCAGCCTCTGGGATCTCAATGGCGCGGGCAAGAAGCTGGAAATCGCAGTGGGCGAGGACGAGAATACCGCAAAGGGCTCCGTCTACGCCCTAGCAGCAACACCCAACCTCATCGCAAGTGGCGGTCCCGAGAGCATCGTCCGCGTGTGGGACGCGCGATCAGGCAAGCGCATCACCAAGTTTGTCGGACACACCGACAACGTACGCGACATCCTTCTCGCGCACGACGGCGACACCATCCTGACTGGCTCGTCCGACCAAACAGTCAAGGTCTGGTCCATGACGGCAGGTCGCTGCATGTACACACTGACCATGCACAACGACAGCGTATGGTCTCTGCATTCAGACTCACCCGAACTCGACGTCTTCTACTCCTCAGATCGCTCGGGCATAGTCGCAAAGAGCGATGTGCGCAACTGCGCCGAGATGGACGAGGGACTTTCGCTAGCAGTATGCCAGGAACACGAGGGTGTGAACAAGATCGTCGCAGCTGGCGATTACATCTGGACTGCCACGTCCAGCTCGAGCATCAACCGATGGAACGACGTCGAAACCGCGGCCGAGCTTGAGCTTCCCGAGTCGCACAGGTGGCAGAGAAACAGCGTGTCGACTATGCAATCGCGGATTCCCTCGCCTCCTGCTGGTAGCCCTCCAAAGAACGAAGCGGCATCCAAGATACCGCTCAAGTCTCTACTGCGCATGTCCAACACCGCACCCTTCCCACGAGCGCTTGCGACCAAGGACCCCGACGCATCCACTCTAGCCAGCGCGCGCAAACCATCCGAGGTATTAGCAGCCCCAGAGCACAGTGCTGTGGGAACTGTTCGGGCTCTGCCAGACTTCACAATCGAAGGGCAGAATGGTCTCATCAAGCACCACCTCCTCAACGACCGGCGAAGAGTCCTTACACTTGATACTGCAGGAGAAGTGGTTTTGTGGGATCTACTGCAATGTGCACCCATCAAATCTTACGGCAAAAAGCACATGGAAGATGTACTACCGGAGGTTAACACCCAGGACAGCGTTGCACACTGGTGCGCCGTCGACACAAGGATAGGAACCTTGACATGTATGCTCGAGGAGAACTACTGCTTTGATGCCGAGACATACGCAGACGAGCTGGACCTAGAGGAGCAGATTGAGTTCCGAGAAGACCATCGCATAAATCTTGGCAAGTGGATCTTACGCTATCTCTTCTCCAATCTCATCGACGAGGAGATCAAGCGCGATGAGGTCTTGCGTGCAGATTTGCTCAAGCAGAAGGAGGAACAGCCGCAGCCCAATCGCCCAACTAACATCGAGCTGCCAAACATGAACATAAACGGATGGAAGGATGCAACTTCAGGACCTACTTCGGGTTCGACTATCAAGGCCGAGAACGGATTGCGTCTGCCGCACACACCAGGTCTGGCTATCGGTCTAGCTACGCCAATGGCAGCACCAATGAGTGCGGGACGCAACTCTACCACCAACCCTCTGACTCCAACCAAAGAAGAAGGCTCGCAACTAGAAAAGACACAGACCCAGCGGAGCTCGACTCAAGAAGGTGGCGACTATTTTGGTTCCGCTTCTGCTACCAACGGTAACGGAAACGGAAAGTCCGCAGAGGCTACCAAGGAAGGCTCCACAGATTCAAAAGAAGAAACCGTACAATCACCTACCGAGGCCGACACGCCAGCGAAAAAGGGCAAAGGCATGTTTGGCAAGAAGTTCAACATGGGCTTCAGCATGAAGAAGTTCAGCACTGGCACAGCCGTCCCTGAGCCTGCCAAGCCTGCTGTTGACGAAAAGGCCGAAGACAGCGATTCGCGGTCTACCAAGACGAACGAGAAGACCATCGAAGACAACTTCTACGGAGCTCTTCAACGGATACAGCAGGGCTATGAGGAGCAACTTGCAGCCGGCGCAACAAAGTTGGATACGCAGATTGCGCCCAGTTTGCCCAACGAAACACCTGTACTAAAGCCACCTGCCATGACTACCATTTTAATCCAGGAAGATCGTCCAGACTCTGGCGGTGTGGCTGATCTCTTCGAGGGTAAAGTCGGCACCCTGGGTTCGCAGGCTGACCTCATTGAGAAAGCGGCACCAATGTGGTTGGCCGAAGTCTTGCTACGGGTGAGTTGATCATCTGCATTAAACTCTACGAATACCATGAACTAACTACGACAGAACCAACTCCCACCCAAGGACATAGTCAAAGTATCCTTCGTCCTCGAACCCTTTGGCAACGCACTGCCGTCCATTTCTTCCGACGGGTACATTCCCTTTTCCCTTCCCTTCGAAACCGCAGCCTTGGCTAATTCGAAACTCAGCAACAACCGTCTCAACGCAAACCGCATGCTGCGTGCGCGCAAGATATTGGGTTACGTGGCTGAGCGCATTGAACCTGCGCCCACCAAGGAGGATCTGGAAAAGCAGGCCGAGGCAGGTGGTGTGCTGAAGCCTGATGAGTATCTGGAGCTGTATTGTAATGGACAGGTAAGTTTTCTTGTTGAAATTTGTGTTTGATATTGGTCGATGAGCGATGCTAATCTTGGATAGTTGATTCCTCCAACGATGACGCTTGCTAGTATCCGCGCACACGTCTGGCGCGGTGGCGGCGACGTACTTCTTCTTTACAAGGCCAACGGCCGCAAAGAGATCAGACACGCTCCTTATCCTGGTCCGCAGTCTGGTGCCCCGCCCGGTCCTATACATGGATTGAAGGTTGGCGCTGGCTTGAACTCGGGACCGGGTAGTAGTAATGCAAGTGAGGGAAAGCAGAGCAGCGAGGCGGATAGGAGTACCAAGGATGCTGCCATGTTTGGACCCTGAGGATTGTTGGGGCTGGGTCGAGTTGGATAGATGGAAGGAGAAAAGGCGGCTAGAATGCGGCCAAGTTGTGGACGTTGGATATCATTCTTGGTTCAGAGTCAGAGTTTTGGATAGTGTACATAGCATACCTGCTTGCCAGTAGACTCACACACGAGTCGGTGGGCTCGGCCTCATGGGCCCAAGCAAGATGGAGTCGATACCATATGCAGTCATGGACATTCCGTTTGATGCCCGTCTCCCGGCTCATCTGAATAGTGAAGTAGAATGTACCATTTCAGTCCTCGCCTACACCACCCAAGGCATTACTCGCCCATTGGTATGAGCCAAGGAAGATGGCACCACCCACACTGATCCAGCCAACGCGCGGGCCCAGGCCCGCAAAGAAAGCCCCTGGACCCGATTCTCTCATGATAGTTGACAGCATAGTAAGCATAGGCTGTTTCTCCCGGGCAAGCATCATTCTCGTTTTCAACACATCCAACGGTGTCGTAACGCCCGCAGCCACAGCGCCCGCCACACTACCCAACAGTCCTCCTTCCCATCCACTAACCTCCGTCCTCCCTGTCCTAGCCATGCGCCACTTCTTCAACGCCTCCCAGAGCGGGAATTGGATGACCGTGAAAGGCACCTCACGGATGATCGTTATCGACCACCCGCGATACAATTCCATCCACACATGCGCCAACCCCTTGGTATGCCGCTGCCTAAGCACAAACGCGAGTGCCTCCCGTGAACTCGGATGCTGACTCGCCTGCGCCCTCTGCTTGATAACCTCTGTTGGTACACGTACAGCACACGCCGCGACCTCTCCCGCACTAGCTGCTAGCATGTGTACCAGAGCCTCTGTCCCGCCATCTCTTACGTCCTCTTTGTACGGTTTTCCCTCCGCGTTGTACTTGATCGTAGCCGGTACATTTTGGGAGAATGATCGTTTTATTGTGTCGTATGTTATGAAGAAGAGGGCGGCACCGGGAGCGGAACCGACGATTGCGCTGCCCACGCCGCGGTATATGCCATTGAAGCCGCCGGCTGCGGCGAAACCGGATGCAGATTGGAGACGGGTTTTAAGCGTGTCAAGAGGGTAGAGAGAGAGGTCTACTGTCGTGCCTGCCATGCCGCCGGCCTAGGGTGGGGTGTAAGTGGGCTGTTTTGTAAGAAATGCGAAGAGTCGCACCAAATCCGATATTCGGAGGTTGGGTGGAAAGGGATGGTAATATTCTGGTGGTGATCAGGGTAAGTACTTACAATGAGCGACCGCAAGTATGGCGACTCAACCCATGCTTGTGGTGGTGGTGCTGACTTGGAGTCGAGCGCGTGCAGCATGGTGGGAAAGTAATTCGAGACCCATGACGACGTTCTCGAGACGATGAGTTCCAGGAACGAAGCGTCTGTGCGCAAGCTAGCTGCACCTTCTTCCCGACTGGCTGGCTCTCTTTAACACTTGGAATACTTTTCTGACACAACTCCCGGTTTGCGAGATTGCAGATTTTTTTATTCGTATTCAGTGGGGGGATTTCATAAAAGAACATGGCGCGTTGAACGATGAGCGGTTCGGCTATCAGTGTCAGATGTCTGGCTAGCACGAGGGTTTCGAAATGCGATGTGCAAGAGAAGGGCCAGAATGAGGAAGTGCATGGGAACGTAGATTCTGCCGAATCAGATGGAGTGAAGGATGAAAGGACGAGGTCGGTGGCCAGCCATGATGGTGCACAACAACAGTCAAAGCAAGACGAACTGGAAAACGAAAGTGACGATCGCCATAGAGACAGCCGTTCATCGAATCCTTCAGACTCATCACCAGAATCAGAATCAGAATCAGAGTCCGGATATGGTAGTGATTCTATCATCTCAGACTCTTCGTTGGATAGCGAACGTTACATCAGCTGCATACAAGAAGCCCAGCTGTCACCAGACGGTAGCTGCGTCTTTACATCAGACTATAGCCGTCGGTTTTCTGTGTATCCTATCTCGAACGACATTCTAAGCCAGACCGTCGTCCAGAATCTCGCACCTTATGCATCTCTCCACTCCTCCGATCCTATATGGGCCTTTGCTGTCAATCCGCTTTTCAACTTGCAAGATGCCAGCAGTACGACTGTGCTACTCAGTCGACAAGACACCTATATCAGTCTACACAACGCGTTGTGGGGTACCCCGAGAGCTACCAACAAGGACGCCAGTCCCGCTACAAGTGCAGGGCCTGTGGATATATCCACCCCTCTAGCATCTTATAAACTAATCAATGGTCTCACTGAAGCCGTGGTCGCACCCATCAGTCTCGTCTACTCCAACGGCGCCACCCATTTCTTTGGAGGTGCAAAGGACGAAATCGCCATATTCGACCTCCAAGAAACCGACAAACCCATCCACACGATCCACACCATCCCCGCCAAGCGTAACAAACTCAAAGGCGGCGGCCGTGGATTCAAGGGTTGGGTCTCCGCCCTAGCTATCTCTCCACCCTCGCACACCTCGCATGACGGCCTCTTAGCAGCAGGATCACGGACCCGCTACATCGGCATCTACGACTCTGTCGGCGGCAACGAAATAACACATTTCTCCCTCCCAGGAACAACAAACGGCATCAAGTTTCGCAATGAGAAGCTCAATCACGTCATGGGTGATGGCGTTTCGTCTCTCAAATGGAGTCCTTGCGGCAAATATCTCTACGTCGCTGAGCGCAGTTCAGACGTCCTCCTCATATACGACGTCCGTAACTTTTCTCTCTCCTTGGGTTACTGCGCAGGGAGGAAGGCATTCACGAGGCAGAAACTTGGTTTCGATATCTGGAATGCTGGGGCCTCACCGTATGATATCGAGGGTCTCTCGCATGAGGTTTGGGCTGGGGGAACGGATGGCATGATCAGAGTTTGGAGGGATCCGTACATGAGAGAAGGTGCTGTGGAGGCTGATGATGTCGTTTCTGTAAATAGTGGAGGGGTCCCGGTCGTGGGATCACTCGTACATGCTTCGGGAAGTTTGGCTGTTGCTGCTTGTGGAACCATTGGAGCCAAGGAAGACATGGAGGGGAGGGGGTTCAAGAGGGGTGGTGGTTCAAGACCAAGGGTGAGGGAGTGGGGGAGTTTGGACATCCTAGGGTTGGGCTGATATGCTCCATAGGCTGTATAGAATGCCAGAACGAGCAAGCGGCTGGTTCAACATATCACTCAGAGTATACCAGCACAACGGAAAACTAGAGACTTAGCGTCATTCCATCCATCCGAACATGCGAGCGTGTATCATAAACCCCCGGGTCCGTGTTGGCACCACGCTCCAAACCTTCCAACCCTCAAACGGTCTAAGCATATTGAGCAGGTTGCGCACGTCCTCTCAGTACCCTCGGAGAATACACCTACGATTCATTACTGAATCCAACACCTTTTCTACTCTTGCCTATCTGAGTAGCCCAACGTCTGGCACGGTGACAGCGCAGAAGTCAAAAGAAACAAGCGGCCTATTGGAGAGCTTGCGCACCTTCTTGCTTGTTCATATATCAAGCCACAAATCATATCTGGAATCGACAGTGAAAGCTCAAATTCCCCTTTGCGGACTGCCCATGGTGTTGTAGTTTGGTAGCGCGTGCCTTAGGCACACCGGGCGATCGGTAAGTGATCTGACCCCTCAAAAGGAGATGGCAAAACAAACCATACCCGAACTCCAAGGCTGGACGCCTGAGCTGCTATCGACACCTTGGATTTATGTTGCCTAATTGGGCAAACACTGGTTTTGTTTGATGTACTGAGCCGGTGCATAAAAATGTCAGGTGAAGCTTATGACATCTGGAACTCTCCAGACGTCCCTAGTGCGAACTTTTTATTCTCCTTACGCCATCTGGAATCGACGCGAAAACGACGATTGCCCTTTCTGGCAATTTGTTGTGAGTGAGAAGATTTGAGTATGTGAAACGCTACTGGATCTCTGCCTGGATATGAAACCGAGGTCTACAGGCGGACGGCGGTGTGTGACATGTGCGCACTACGCTCCGGTTCCGTATGTGTCGGCATGGCCCAGAAAAAGATTCGCGCCCTGATCATCCTAGGCCATTGTGTTCGTAGTAAGGTCACAGTACAGCACGAATGCGTTGTCCTCAATCCAAACCTGTCCCTGCTCCCCGATCCAATAGCCGTGTATGTCAAGTCGCGTGACATGGACGACCCAAGCTTCATGACAAGACTACCGTTGCTTTTTAGGCGACGTGTCCAGTCGCCCGCGAGAATCGATGCTTTTCCTTCTTCCTTCCCTTCTCGGCGTCTATGACTACTTCGCTACCACGTTCCGTCAGCCACGTACCAGACCTCGACCCTGAGACCCGATTTTCGATTGAAGCCTCCATCCTGGTTCGTGGATCTTTTCCGATAGCGCAATCTACCGTAATCGATGCTTCTCTTGATACCCTTCCTCTTATGGTATATTTTGGCCGTTGGACGTACGGCAACCAAGCTCATTGAGTGCTAGAGGTGTAAAGGTGTCCCGGGAAACGGGTCTGACAGCCGTTGACAGTGATCGATGGTTGGTAAAGTATGTTTCCTGTTTGGGACTTGTGCGCAAATCGTAAGTCATGTCATATACCTGGTTATCGTGGTGTTGAGGAGTTTGTGAATCGCCCCCAGACTGAAGATTTAAGCGTATACGTCAGCAGAAGAGCATAGTAATCATTGGCGCGTGCGTGTCCTCTCAAGGCACTGTCGCTGCCCTACGACTGTGTTCCGTGGGGTGCCGAAGCATGATGCGCGAGCTCGGTGCGGTGTTGTGAGAGAGTTGGAGCGCAGAGGTTGCTACGCCTTTGACGTTGTAGCTATCATGACGGCACAAGATTGAAAGAAGCTTGGATAGGTGTAGCGACGTGGTCCTCAGCCTCGCACACCCTCGTATAAGCTTCAAGCTTGCCCATGATAGGCACATATCACCAATGAAGCAATACGGATCATGACGATGAGCGAAAGCAGTAATACGCATGGCAACCAAGTAACCTCGATTACGCGCAATGTCCAGAACAAGCGAGTTGGCATGTGCCGCGGTTTCCATGTTAGCGCAAGAATGACGTAGTGGCTCGCGGATGCTTGCGCAAATCCCGCCAGGAACACGACATTGCATCACAAGGCCCACGTTTAACCCTTCCTTTCACTCTTCCCAAGAACATCATCTTCACGACTGCATCTCCCTCCAAACACTCTGTAACACTTCAAAAACGAAACGACACCTCGATTGATATCCTAACAACTCTCCCAACATGGATGTACGTATTCCAGCTCTGTTGATGAGGGATGGTGTTTGCTCAACGAAGAGAAGCTGACATGAATACCAGGTCTACTACTTTTACTCTTATGGCACTGCCGCATGGCTGGGTAAGCTTCATGCCATCTATCGAGGATACCGTACAGCTTGCTGACAGAATTCAGCAACCCAAGCCGCGCCTCTCATTGCGTCCCCAACAATGATAGTAGCACTGTTGTCACCCGAGGTCCGCGAAGCCTCCAGTATGTACACTCTAAAAGTCAAGAATGCGAAAAAGCAGGGGGTGCTAACGAACATGATTAGCTCTCGAGGTCTACTTCTCCCGCTCGCTGGGGTTTTCGCTCATCGCACTGGGCATCATGACGGTTCTACTCACGGGCTCTGTTCCACTCTCTAGTAGACTTTCCGAGGGTACGACTTTCTTACTTTGTTTGCAAAGTCCGCAACTAACACATATCCAGGAGCGACGACCAACGCCGAAGACCCCAAAGCCCCCTACGCGCTCCCCACCCTTACCATAACCGCAATCTTCCATTCAGTCGTCGCCTTCTACGGCTACGCCATGTGGACCAAGGTTGGTGTCATGTCTTTCGGTCTGGCAACGCTCGGCTCGGGCTTCCTGGCTATGATTGCGCTTTGGTGCATTTTGTTCGCTAGCAGCAATGGCCGCATTAGCAGGAAGACAGGTGCTGACAAGAGGACATCTGGATTCCCGTTCAAGAACCAAGAGGCTGAGAAGAGGAAGGCTAGGTAAACGCATATACTCAGCTTTTGTCGAAACATGGTCGATTGTGAAAGTTAACAAGCCATGCTTTGGGCGGAGGTAGGGGCATGGAAGGGATGTCTGCAGCGCTCAAGCAACAATGGGCAAATGGGCATACAATGGGAGTTATGCATGGAAGCGGGTATTGAAATATGGCATCAAAAAATCGCCAGACACGGATTAAGCCAGGCTGTACACTATGGAAGCATCAAATGAATTGGTATCTTTAATCTTGAATGTACCCAGAGACCGTGAACCGTCGATCTACCCCATAGTAATACACGAAAACTGTCAAACAAACACTAGAAGAGTGCGCCTATTTCCCCTTTCAACATTGAATCCCGTCTTTTGATTCCGCCTAGCCAGATTATCTTCCAAGCTCAACGCTGCATTAGTGTTGGAAGGCCGCTTATGACATGTCCATATATGGTGGCTGGTAACCCGCAACAAAACGATAGCGGACGAACTCCCAGGGGAAAGCTGGATGAAATAGGTCGAAGCAGGGAGCCTGCCTGTATGCTTTGCGGCCCGGTCCTTGAGCATTCTAAGCAACAGGGACTTGTGGGTGGAGCTCATCGTGGTGCCGAGGCTCCGCTGGAGGCGGCCTAGGTGGCTGGAGCTCATCCTTGATCTGTGGTCGCTGGGCCTGTACAGTCTCGTCTCGCCACCACGGTAGCTTTCCGTCCTTTGGTGCCATTGGGAGGGACTTGGCGGGAATGATGTCGTTCTCCACAGACTGCCAGCCCTCCATGTCATCTGGCATGCCTTCCTCGACTCGTCGCCGCCGCTCGGTTGCGGCTTGTGCTTCCATGAAGTTCTCGAATAGAAGCTCCTTGGCCTGCCATTCCTCCTGACGCACCTTCTCTAGCTCCTCAGCTTCGGCGCGCAGTTGTTCGCCTTGTTGTGTCGCCCAAAGCAGTTGCCGACGTAGTAGCTGGAATAGGTCTGGGACGGGTTTCGAGAGTTCTTCGGGCGTAAACTCGATGTCCGGTGGGAACTGCACAAGCGTCGGCGCGCTTGGGTTTGCGAGGTCTTGCAGGTAGACGACGTTGTTGTGTGCGTAGTCGGCATCTGTTGCAGGTGCGTTGGGCGGGATTGTTGCGCTGTTCGAGGGGTGGGAGTGTGAGGATGGGGAGCCGGGCGTTGAGGCCTTGTCGTGTGGCAGCTTCTTGGCCTCGTTGTTCAGGACAAGCTTGAGGCGCTGCTTGTTGTTTGTGGGGTTGGATGAGTGGTGTTTGGGAACAGGATCAGAAGGACGGAGGGCTTCGGTCTCGTGGACAGTTCGCATGTGCTTGGCCAGCGCGTCGGAGCGGGTGAAGGAGCGGTCGCATTCTAGCAAAGTTTAGTATACTGGGGGAGTCGAGACTGGGGCCGTGACGTACCGGGAAGCGTGCAGTAAAAGGGCTTCTCCCTCGTGTGAGAGCGCATGTGTGCCCTTAGCGCATAGCCACTGGCGTGTGGTATGCCTTTCCTCGTGCAGTCGCTCCACTCGCAGCTGTACTTCTTCTGCCTTGTGCCAATGTGATCGTCGTGGAGATGCTCGACCAGGTTGTCCATGTTCTGGAGATCACCCGCTGTGCAGCCGTCCCACTTGCAGACGGTGACCTGTTCCTGGCCGTAGTCGTCGTCTTGCGACATGCCCGGGTGGTGGTGTGGCGACGCGGGAACAGAGCCATCCGTGTCTTCAGACAAATCGCCCTCTTCTTCGGGCGGCATCGTGTTGATGTGAGGTGGTGAAGATGGCGCGCGAATGTTCAGACGTGGTCGCTTGCTTGGGCGCGGGTCGTGGTCAGGAGTGGCTTCGTACTGGCGGCCTTTGATGTCTTCGGGAAAATCATCGCTGCCGTACTCGGAGAGCTCTGAAGGGGAGTCCATGTTGGCGGTTTGATGTGAATGTTCCAGCTGCTCTGGGCGCGTTTGGGGGAGGTGAGCGTGACGACGGCTGGCGCGTTGGACGTCTAGCGGAGAGGTGCATTGACCAGCCGTTTAGCTTCCGTCGCATATTTTGGTCAGCTCTGCGCATCTCACGTCCTTCTTCCACACTTCTTCACCATAAACATCTACAGGTAAGTTTTTTGCTAGTTCCTTCGCCCCGTCTTCATGATGATCTATTCCAGAGTTCTGCAATTCTCAAGAGTCGCTTCACGGCTGCTCGAATGTGGATTAGCTCTACACTACAATTCTTTCTGATCTACTACTCTCATACACATTAAGCTTGTTGCATTACAACTACAGCGCTAACATGCTTCAGACTAGATCTGCACTTATCTATGCGGACAGCAATGCCGACATAGACTCGGGATATCGGCTACCAGTTGGGGCAAACCTCTTCAAGATCTCGTCCAGCGCCTTCTTCTCCTCGTCGTTGAGCTGCGCCGGCTTCGTGTTCTCCTGAATCCTCTCCGACGTTGTAGCACCTGGGATTGGAATGATGGTGGGCATACCCTTGGCACCGCTCTGCGCGAGTACCCAGCCGAGGGCAATCTGAGCTGGTGTGGCTCCCTTTGCCTTGGCCATATCCTCGACAGCGTTGAGTAGCTTAATGTTCTCATCAAAGACGTCGGGCTGGAATCTAGGAAAGTGATGAAGCATAGAGTCGGGCTCGATGTCTTCGTGCTTCTTGTACTTGCCAGTCTCCCATGTGTTAGCAGTAAGTCTTCAGTTGGAAAAAGATGCGCTTACCAGAAACCCGCGTCCAAGAGGAGAGTAGGCGATGATGGGGATACCCAGCTCTGCGCACGTCGCCGCCACGCCGTTCTCCAGGATCTCAGTGCTCCAGAGCGAGAACTCTACCTCAACCGCCGAGATGGGGTGTGCAGCATGCGCCTTGCGGATCGACTGTGGGCCAACCTCTGACAAGCTAATACCGCCGAGCTTGCCCTCTTTGACGTACTCGGCGATGTAGCCGACAGTTTCTTCGATTGGTGTCTTGGGATCGACTCTGGCACACTCGAAAAGATCTAGGCTCTTCTTGCCATCCAGGACCTTCAAGCACTCATCGATACTGCGCCTGATGTTTTCGCGACTGCCATCGGGCGCCATCTCGCCCTTCTTGAGTCCACCCTTGATGGACAGGACAACCTTCTCTGCGTCACCTGGATACTTGGTGAAGTACTCGTTGAGAAGGTGTAGAGAGTTGCGCTCTGGGGAGCCGTAGAGTTCGCCACCGTTCCAGTTGTTTGCGCCGAGCGAAAGTGCCGTGCGCATAGCTTCGTAGCTCTGCTCGGCTGGCGGTGGGTTCTGGCGCCATGTTAGGCCTGTGATGTGTTAGAATACTGGAATCGAGGTAGGTGATGGTTTATATACCCATGAGGCCATAGCCCACTGGGCCTACAGTCTTTCCGACGAGTTCAGGCATGTTGGTTGGTTGGTGCTTCTGTGAAGTTTCGTAGATAATGGTGGGGTAGATGGAGCTTCTATAAATTGATTGATGATGCTCAATTGCTCGTGTGGTTGTAGCAGTTGTTGTTTGATGTCCTTTTCGCCGTTCTTCCACGAAGCTCTTATATCGAATGGTAGTCTTCTCGGGCCCGAAATCATTTTTATGTAACTGGATGTGATGACGCTGGGTTCCACATGCATCTGCCGGGCCCAGATCTTAACTCCGCGCGGCCAATCAGAAGCGGGTGTGGCGTAAGAGGATGGACTTTGCACGATAGCTCCAGCGGAATGCGCGCGCGACCATCTCACACAATGTGTAGTTTGATAATTTGTCCGAAATGGAGTTGGTAAGCTGAAATCGTTATTGTGTGTTGATACGGAAGTTGGCTGAGCCGTGGAGCCGGCACTCATGATCAAGCTCAAACACTTGCGGCAATAAGAAGCTTATGCTTTTGCTAAATATCGTACTCTACATTAAAACAACATCAGCAGCTCTCTAAGAGCAGTACTAATTAGTGTTATGTCTAGTGTTATGATTCTTGCTTAGTGTAGGCGTCTTCTAGACGCCACAAAGCCTAAGCAACAGCTAAATTGTACAATATAGTACGTGCCTTTGAAGTAGACCTAGAATATTCCGGACAACCTACAGCAATAGTGAATTCATCTTAATTGTCAACCTATCTCCATGACTATACTGTAATACATGTACGATACACAAGTGCCCAAGTTTTTTGTCGATCCTTTCAACTTATAAGCCCATGCTCCAACACATTCTCACATCGTCTTCTTGCTCTCTACACCCTTTCGCTCAACGCCGTCCAAGTCCCTCAGCACAGCCTTGACAGGCCAGACAAACCCTTCCTCGACCGTGTTTGTTTTGCCCTCCTCAATAGTGACAAGGTACTCCACCAGTGCCATACCCACATACGCTCCAATAGCAGTCAGAATGTGCCACCACCCATGCAACTCAAACAAGAATCCCCAAGGCAGCCCAACATAGCGCTTAAATTGCGTGACATACGCGCAAAGGTGGAAATCGATATTCCAAAGGAAGTACCCAAACAGGCCTGTTGAAATGCCAAACGTAGCCATGCTGCCCAACTTCTTTCTGCTCTCTTCGTTCTTGACTTGCTTCTTGATCAGCGCGCGCGTCTGTTTGCTAACGAGGAAAATCATGACTGCAAAGGCGATTTCGTGCATGATGATCTCGTCGGCCCAGACATGGTAGACGGAGATGGGAATTAGACTGCCAAGGATGTAGAAGGTGTATTTCTGGCGCTCCGATTGCGTAGCACCGAAGCAGAGGAGTTGATGCAGAATGGCCCCTACGGCCAGAAACATGGATAGGTCATCGCCCATTTGCGAGTGGTACTTTAGGGTTGCGTGGAACCAGGCTGATAGGACGCCCACGCCGATTAGACCCCAGTAGGGGAATGCGAGTGTCGAAACTAGTCCGCCATCAGGTTTTGGGGCGACACGGCGGAGGCCGTGGAGGCCGTAGATGACTGGAAGTGAGTGAGTTTATGGTTCTGGCTTTGATGGAGGATTGCACGGACCGTAGGTGATGTTGGTAAGGGTGTTGATGAACTCGCCGATGTACTGTGTGATGATGTAGTCCTTCATTCATTCGTCAATCCTCATTGCATTCGTTCAGGCTCATTGATTTTCGCATACCTCTTCACAAAAGCTATACCAGGTCAGCTAAATTCAGTCAATCCAGGCACCATACCCAAACTCACTTGTGGTTCGACGTCTTGGGCTCCCAAGCTCCTACAATGTATTCATTCGGATAGTCCCATCGCAACTGCATCGTGAAGTATGATAACTGCGGGCCGCGAAGATGAGGTTCTTCTGATGCTGTGAGGTCGGTAAGGTTGCCCAGATGTTGTTTGCAATGGTTTTCTACTTGAAGCAGGACGGTTCGCGCTATGACCCCTGAAAGTGACCTCGGGATCCACTTTGCACGCTACCTAAAGACGAAAACACTATCTATAGAAACGTGCAAACCAGATAGGAGAAGGCAGAGATATCTGAAGAGGTTGGTAGAAGGGTATTGCAGATTTGTCTTCGCCGGATCCGTAGTTGTTGAGGTTCGTGGATTCCGCAAGGAGCGTTGTCGGGAACAAAATAGAGACCAAAAAAGTAAATGTGCCACACATGGAAATATGTAGCTAGCGGACAATTTTAACCGGTCGAGAGGTACTGGAAAATAGATAAGGAATGTTTATATTTGCATGTGTGCGTGTGGTATGCCTGAGTGTTCTTTGCTTTTGTCGCATGAAGTTCTAACCAGAAAGTGGAATCGTCCACGCACAAGCCCAGCACAGTTAGCAAACCACTCCAAAGGGTCAAGAAACGTTGGGGAAAGTCTGAGTGAACCTCCAAACTCGACAATACACGTATGTGATGCTTGAATCTTGTTCAAGCTGTGGAGGGCCGAGTTTTGGTCAAAAAAAGACATGTAAGTAATCAAAGCATGAGCACAGATAGCCAGAAGCTTCCCAAATGAACTAGGGATGTATCTGAACGTATCCCAAGCTTCTGTGATGTCTGTAGGGCCTCCTGTAGCCTCTGGAAGCGCAAAAAAAGGGGTCTTACCGCGACTCGAACGCGGGGCCTCTCGCAAGCTGTTGCTCAGGCTTTGTGGCGTCCAGAAGACGTCTACCCTAAGCGAGAATCATACCACTAGACCATAAGACCGATTTCTGCTGCTCTTGAAGAGCTGCTGAAGTTGTTTTGATGGAAAGAAGCAGAAAATGAAATATTATACAAAACTGCATTTTTAGGAAATCCGGCCTTTTACCGAATTCCAAAACCACGCGGAGCTTGTTGGCACGATAGACATTGACAATTCCACAAAAAATTGTGGACTTTCAGCCATCAGAACGGGGAAAATACTGCCAGTGTTGGTATGGTGGCCGAACTTAGCCGCGCAGACACGGGCGGTTCAGGGGGCGGCAAACCCGAACTCGAACACCAAAACTTTACCTGAATACTGAGCGCTCCTGTCTAACGGCATCAAACCCCAGATCCTGAGAATGCCTGGTATACCATTTGTTAGTGAAAATTCTAGTGATGCCGACTGGGGGAACCTGAGATTTGTCTCAACGACAGTTCTCGATACACTCAATCTCCGCCGTACTTGCGATTCTCTTTTGCGCGAGCATTCTTCTATGAAGCCAGGTTCTATTCAAATCGTGTGAAGAAACAAAATTCATTGTCAAAAATCTTGTGTGAGCAATGGCGCGGTCATGCGATAAACATCTCCAACTCAAAAGTCAATGACGCAGACTATTGCACGCATCACAACTTCACACGGTTTATACGCCTTCCCGAGTATTTGCCACGCACACGAAAGCCGCATGTATGTTATATCACGGATATAGGTGTCCGGTCCAGCAATCTGGGCGGTGGATGTCATGATTAACCTCTGAACGAGTTTTAGTGGTTACAGTTGCATCGGATCATATCCAGATTTCACTATCAACGTTTTTGCATCCTGCGCAAAGCTTTTCTTGACCAAATTTGTGCTGTCGACTGCTTGGATGACTTTTCGAACTTGGCCTTGCATTGGCCAAGTCCTGCGAACATAGCTACATACTAGAACTAGGATTCATACGCGTAGCCGTGTCGAGTGGCCTGATGTTAGGGTCATTTCGCTCCAACATTCCTACAATGTGATGGTTCGTGGTTTGATGCGCAATTAGTTAGCCCGAGCACGAGGAAAGGCAGAAAGGATCATCGATGAGCAAACCCAACGTTCCCGACGTCCTCGTAACCCCGATCATGACAAGGTTTATTGAATCGCAGCTGCGCAAATTCCAGATTTGCCTCTAATGAACTGTCAGAATTTGGCAAGGCCTTTGTCAATTTTACCTCCCATACATCATGTCTTTCGTCTTGAATCAACCACAACATTGTAATGCGATGCGTGCGAAGCTGCATGCCAATAACAACATCGCGATGCTGAGTAGAAATCGGGAGATGAGGGCGGACGTTGCCAAGCAGAGGAATGATCGCGCCCCGTTCGTTCACACCACTCTGTCGCACTCCTGCCCAATCACCCAACGACACGCGGAAACCATATCGCATCAGGAAATATTTCCAGTTCACATGTAACATCGTCGCATTTTAGCAGCCTTGCAACGTGCCATCGGACCCCGGAAAGCTTCGTAAAAGAGCCGCCGGTTCGGCTGCGGCGCCACTGACGACATCGACACTGCACAACGCGGGTGAGGCGATCTCCACATCTCTCCGACTTTGAGCGTCCGTGTCTCCACCTCCAGTCTAACCCCAACATCTCCAGACTCACTATTTTCCACGAATCAATCTGGGTCCGACACTGACTCGATGTCGTTTCTCTCCGATATTCAAGACGGCTGGCTTCTCGGCGTGCGGCCGCTATACCCATAACGGTAAATCCGCATTTTAACCATTTTACCTGGCCAACGAATGTGTCAGTATGGGGAGCCTCATGCGGAGCAAGGACTTCAGTGGAGAAGGCTACTTCAAGCGAGATGATTATCGCGTTGAACAAACCGGCATGTAGTGCCGACTGCTTGAAGCTTTATATTCAACCTTCCCCGCGAACGTGGGTCGACAGGTCAGTAGACTGCCATCTTTGCATCAACCCAAGGCTCTGGAGAGGTTCTAGTCAAGATGTTTGAAAAGTTCCCCAAGATCTATAATGTCTACTTTTTGGCAATTGTTGCCACGATGGGAGGTATGCTCTTCGGATTTGACATCTCATCAATGAGTGCCATCATTCCATCCAACCAGTACCTGTAAGTCATGACTGTCGAATTTGTTAGCACATCCACTAACTCTCGACAGCGACTATTTCGACAACCCATCTGGTGTTGTCCAGGGAGCCATCGGCTCTGCACTTGCTGCTGGATCAGTAGTCGGTAGTGCTATGGCTGGTCCCATCTCTGACAAGTTCGGTCGTCGCGATGCTCTTGTGTTCGCCTGTCTCTGGTGGCTTGTCGGCACCGCCGTACAGGTCGCTTGCACTGGTCGCGGCATGCTCATTGCCGGTCGCGTCTTGAACGGAGTAACAGTCGGTATCACGTCATCTCAGGTGCCTGTGTACCTTGCCGAAATTTCGAAACACTCGCAGCGTGGTGCCATCATCATCATTCAACAGCTCGCTATCGAATGGGGTATTCTTATCATGTAAGTGAATTATGCACGAGGAAAGTAGCTAGGCTCATACTTTCCAGGTACTTTATCGGTTATGGCTGTACGTTTATCCCTGGCGCAACCGCTTCGTTCCGCACCGCTTGGGGAATCCAGTTCGTTCCTTGTGTCATGTTCATGATTGGCCTGCCATTCCTTCCTGAGTCTCCCCGATGGCTTGCAAAGGTCGACCGCACAGAAGAAGCGATCCGTATTCTTGCCGCCATTCAAGCCGACGGCAACATCGAAGATCCTTATGTTATCGCCGAATACGAAGAGATTGTAACCGCCCTTACTGCTGAGCGTCTAGCTCCCCAAGGATGGAGAAAGTTCGTTGTGAACGGCATGTGGAAGCGAACGCTTGCTGGTTTCTCTGTCCAAGCATGGCAACAGCTTTCGGGTGCCAATGTCATGACCTACTACGTTGTCTACATCTTCGCCATGGCAGGTCTCCAAGGCAACACCAAGCTCATCTCATCTGGCGTACAGTACGCCTTGTTTATTATCTTCTCGTCGATAATGTTCTTCTTTGTCGACAAGATTGGCCGCAGAACACTTTTGGTTTGGGGTGCAATCACGATGGCCTTTTGCCATTTTGTTGTTGGTGGAGTTTTGGGAGCCCATTATACCTATGTACCCGATGGTGTCGGCGGCGACAAAAACGTCGTCATGGAGGTTACCGGGTCACCCGCGTACACTGTCATTGCGTTCTCATACCTGTTGATCATCGTAAGCAACGTCTTTCCGTATCTTGTAGAGACCATACTAACCCTACACCAGATCTACGCGCTTACGCTTGCGCCGATTTGCTGGGTCTACGCCGCTGAGGTGTGGTCACTAGAGACCCGCGCCTCCGGAATGGGCATAGCTGCCATCGGAAACTGGCTATTTAATTTCGCCATTGGACTCTTCATTCCGCCCGCCTTCATCAACATTAAGTGGGGACTTTTCGTAGTCTTCGGAGTACTTTGTGTTCTGGCATCCATTCAGTTCTTCTTCACATACCCTGAGACTTGTGGCAAGACTCTTGAAGAGATTGAAGTCTTGTTTAGCAAAGAGGGCCCACATGCTTGGCAGACCAAGAAGGGCAGCTCACACCTCGCTCAGGACGTCGAAAACGTTGCAGCTGCGCAAGCCAAAGGCGACGCCCTTGCCACTATTGAGAATATTGCCAAGAAGGAGAAGGACGAAACTCAGACAACGGAGGCTGTATGAGCGGTCTTTGGCGTGTATTGGTTAGTGTATATATTACAAATTAGTCTCATACTTGACTTCTTCTCGTTGATTCAAACGCCTTCATTAAGTGACCTGTCACATTCGTGGCTAGTGGTGTGCAGTGCGAAACGTGTAGCTACTGCAATAAGGCTACGTGGTTACCTAGCCTCAAACACGTAGTCCCAATGTGTTACCTTTTCATGTAATGAACACTCTCTCACGCTCATCCTGAACCTCACCCCGACACCATCCATCGAAACGACTAATTATGTGCCACTTCGTTCGCATCCACTGTGAAAATTGCCAAGTACTAATGAGACGTCACGGAAGCAACTGCAGTCACGGTCTCGCTATCTTAGGCCCTTTAGGTCTACATTTTGAATGTGCCTCTCTGATCAACAACATCGCACCGGATAT